TGGTTACGAAATGTTTACTGAACCTTTACCATTTCTAAGGCCTAGTTTATACGTCGCGCTGCAGTCGAATTTAATTCAGACGAATTTAATTCAAGGTCCCACAAGCAATTAAATTCGACGATAGCGCGACGTCTAAAACGAATTAAATTCGTCTGGTAAATTAAATTCGTCCTAGACGTTTTATCCGTCTTGGTAAGACGGATAAAATATCGATAAAGCGTCTTCAGTTTTAACGTCGCGCTAGCTTCGCGTCGAATGAAATGCATACATTTTCTTAATGTATTTCAATTTATTTTGGCGAGCCCGCAGCGACCCGTGGCGAGCTTTTCAAGTATTCCGCATGCGCAGAAATTCCTCTTGGGCACTTCGGCGCGAGTTTACAATGTAGTTCATAGCCATGGCGCTTTGGAGGAAAAGTTTGTCATTTTCTTGCAGTAATTGTGAGAGACAAACGAATTATTCTTGTATAACGTGTGGTAAAAGTGTATGTGTTCGATCGGAATGTTCGATTCCTGAAGTTAATGAAGAAGCTATCGGCTGGCAACCAAATAAACGTGTTGGGTATTGTCTCAAGTGTGCTCTTTGTACAGAAAAGCTTGTCAAAGATTGTCAGAGCGAAGTGGATGACAAAGACCATGGTCAGAGGGATCTTACAACATGTATTCGCGAAGAAGAAGAAGAAGAGTCAGATTTCATCGAGGAAGGTGAAATGGTGAGTTCTGAATGCGGGAAAAGGAATACAAGAATTGGGCGGAGAGCGACTTGGAAAGAAGATCACATCACTGATATGGTAAATATCATTGTTAATGATGACCAGCTGGTCAAGAAACTGATATTTTGCAATACTAAGAAAGCAAGCAACACTGAAGCTTATGAGATGGTGCGGAAACGGCTGAACGTCGAATACAATAAGACCACCGGGAGTGATTTTCCTTTCCAAGTGCAACAAATGAGAAATAAATTTAAGTCATGCATTAGTACGTGTCAGCAGATCTGCATGTCAATGAAAACTGCTTCAGGTATTGAAAGGTTTGTTGAAGAACGGGGATATGGTAAATGGTTTGACCTTCTTTATGTACTTGTTAAAACTAGAGATTCATGTCAACGAGAAAATGCATGTGAACCTTCTGTACATATTGGAAATGTAGACAAGCAAGATACCAGCAAGAATGATCAAGAAGTTGATGGTGATGATGATGACTGTGCAAGCACTTCATCCAGCCTTATGGATAGCAGTGGAGAAGTCCCATCCAAGGGTAAACGTTTCTTGGCAAAGAAACCTGCCTCTAAAAGAGCTAAAACTGAGCAGATGGCAAAAGCTGTTGAACTTCTTCAAAGTACTATTGAGAATGATCCCACCAAAGAACTTTTGCAAATTTTAAGGGAAGATATGAAGCAGTCTAGAGAACAGGAAATGAGGTACTTCCAGTTGATGTGTGGCCTACTAACACCCAACAGCAATCCAAACATGCAACCCCATGGTAATTTCCATCCTTATAGCAGTTCTTATTCTGATGATTTTCATCATCAAAGCCATAATTTTGCACAACAATTTGTGTCTAATCCCAGAGCTAGCAGCAGTCACCCAAGTACCCCATCCTTTGGGTACACACCATTGATGTCATCTGCTCCAAAAAATGATGAGCAGTCTCTCCTACATCACGTTCAGTCAACTATGACTTGACAAGGACAATCTGGTATTTCACAGTTGTACCAATTTTGAAAGGGTCTTGGCATGAACTCTAACATTTTAAAGTTATTTTGGAACTGCTTTGAAAAGAGCCTTCTATACCATGGTCTTGAAGTGCCTATAACTCAAATAATCTTTTTCCACTAGCAGAAATCTCAACATTGCACTGATATGATGGTTCAAGAAGTGTAGCATTTTGTTTAAATATTGATTTTTTAAAAGAATTTGCAAATTAAGTCTGTTTTTATCTCAAACTTTAATTTTTGGCAGCAGAGGTATTAATAATTTTACCTGAGTTCCCATGTAGTTTCTTTGCACTGAGATACCACCATAGGTAGTTTGGTATGTTTTGGTTGTCAAGATATGATCCTCAATAATTCTCTGTTTAATGTTTACTTTGTGGTTATGAGTAGTCAAAACAAAAACTTGTGCAATGGAAAACAAGTACTTCTGTCTCCTCAAGTCTACCCTTCATATAAATGAGCCTAAATACATCTCATCTGGTGACAGTGTAGATACCCTTTCAAAGTTGTTCCCTCAAAAACATGAAAGGAACAGGATATCATAATGTGTATTACTGAAATGTACATTATGGTTTACAAATCATTCAAATGTTGTGTTTTACTTTGAATCTTTTTGTTCATTTTTTATATCCCTTTGTTAATTTGTTTGAGATTATATTACAAAAGTTGGAAAACAAAGGAAAATAATATGGTGAAAGAATCAATACATTTCTTTAACAAAGGAAATAACAACTGAATTACAGTATTGCAATTCTCATCATAACAGTGTTTATCTCATGGTACTGTATATAATGTCTGAAAAATATACAGTGATGCAACGTAGTGTCATATATTAATAGTATTCCTTGATCCAATGACAACCACACTCTGAATGGGAAAGCAGAATCTCCCAAAATCATCGGGTAAACCTCGGTACCTTCAATGACTTGAGAAATTGATGGTATGATGTTCTTTTCAGTAATGTTGTGCCACAAATCAGTGGACTGGAAAATGATGGAATCGTGTGAATTTCCTGGAAAACCAACACTTGCCCAGATGAAACGATCCTGTGCATCTACAATGGCCATTAATACTATTGAATAAAAGTTCTTAAAGTTATGATACTCTTTACAGGCTTTCAGACCGCCAGGAGGGCACTGAATGGGGATGTGGCACCCATCTACAGCACCCCAGCAGCAGGGGAATTGCCAAAACGCTGTCATATCCACCGTTTTCTCCATAATATTCTGTTTGGTGATTGGAAAATGCGCTTGCACCGAAGGTTTCCACAGGTTTCTTATGATCGCTTCACATACTTCCTCTATGATTTTGTGAACGGTCGTCACACCAAGGCCAAACAGTTCCGCAATGGTGTATAGGTAAGCACCTCTACCTAATCTGTAAAGACATATAGCCAGCCTACATTCGGCAGAAACGGGCTGCTCTGTGACAAAATCTTTCTCAATATCAGGTCGAAGACTCTTCAAAATTAAGTTAAACGTATTCCTTGATAAACGAAAGGTTTTCTTAAATCTTCCTTCATCATAGGACGCCCAGACCAATTCCCACCAACCTGTGTTTTTATGACTGCGACGACAACTGCGAGGTCTTCGAGCGCTAATTTCATGGGATTACTGATAATTATGGCGAACATTGATTCATCCTGAGGCAAAATGAAAGCGAGTGATCATGATCTTTACGTTAAACAAAGTGCAAACTTGCACACGTGCCGATCAAGAGCAAAATTTGAAATGAACAGAGTCAGAATAATATTTCTTTTAAAATGCAGTTCTTCTTTCAGCTGTGGTGAAGTATCGTGTGTTACAGTATAATCTAACCGACAGAAAATACACTACAATCTTCTAAACTCAATTACTTTATTGAACAGCAAGTAATGTTCTTAACAAGGAGCGACTCCAGTACAATACTTATCGTTAACAAACTTAACTAAGCCCACCACAGTCTATATCCCAGCTCACCACTAACACAGTCTCACTGCTGTCTCCAAAGGCCCTTGAAATAAGCAATCTTCCGCTGTAACTCTCTCTCGGTATAGCTTTCAAAACAGTCGTCGCTCCGACAACACCACGATGAATAACCACAGCCTTTTTTACGATATTTTAGAAGTATTACATAACAAATGCGTGACTTCATGAAACGTTCTGAAAAGTTCTTTGGTATGCAAGTCAGCATGACTCAGCAGTTTGGAGATTTCTGGAAGCTTATGTTTACAATAATTACTCATAACATGTGGAGTTACCACAAACAATGAAAGAAATTTACCTCGAATAGCATTGCGTAAATTTGGGTTTCTAGCTTTGAAATAACAGCCGTTTCAAGTGAAAAAGCGAAAAATTTCGCATCTAGCGAATTAAAAAACGCAAAATACTCAATTATATAATAATATCCCCTCTAAACAATTCGGTTTATGATCCAAAACCAACACAGGGAGATAAACTTTTGGTGATAATTCAAAATGTGATGGTCATTCAGTCGGTTGTGGTCGCTCAGATTTAACTTTTCATCTCGAACGCAGTATTTTATAACACGAGTGCGACGCAATAGCTAGTTTTCCTCAAGTAGAATTATTTCCCTTCAAGCGCTTTAGACTTTCGTCGAGGAAAGTGATACATATAATCCAAACAACTGGTAACAGGCCTTTTATTAAAGATGAGCTCTTCAATTCTTTGCATTTGTGCAGTGACCACAATGGAAAAAACTTATGTTCAAGCGGTTGGCTGACTTCTTAGATTAGAGACACGTAATTTGTTAGAATACAAGCAGTTTGGATTCTTTTAACACCATTCAACTGCCGGAACATGCTGTATAGTCATGTAGTATTGTTGACGAAGTGCAAAAAGCTATTGAAGGTCATGTTTGTTCCTACGGAATGTTCCTATGGCTAAAATTCACATGCGAGCTAAAATGTGCTTTTTTGTCAAATGCCTTAAAAAACAAGAAAGTGATTGTAGACCTTCAACATTAAATTTCGTCGATTTACAGCTCACTCAATTCATAAGAGAAATTTCACTTAAACGCCTTGAATCTTAGAAAAAATTGCTTAATAAATATCATCAAAACTTTTGTCCCCTCCCTTACGTATTCTTATTGGGCTCAAGGTAATGAATTTGGATCAACGTCAGTATCTGAGAAAATGCGCACCGTCCTTTCCCTGGCCCAATATTAACCCTAACTTGTCATTAGTCGACTGTTATTGGGTTAGGGGAGGGGTAGGTGCGCAGTTGTCTAACACTAACTTGCAAAGACAATCTGCGAAATCCGCAAAGATTTTAAATATTGCAAAATAATCATGCTGCACGGTAATAACAGTAAGTTATTCTCATCTTGGTAACGTATGAATACTCCATAAAAGGGTGACTCCCTTCCCATTTATCTGAGTTATTTGAGTCCTCGTTGTCATATTGTATATACTCCTCAGTACCCAGGGCCCTCTCTACTTTCTGACACTCAGACGAACCGTAAGCTAGCAAGTAAAAAGGTTTGTCCACGGGGAGAATGATGGGATCGGATTTGTTACCATTCGTCTGACAACAAAACGATATCTTTGTAGCATCGTCATATGTACCATCAGGAAGTGTTCCACCATTACTGTTCTTGTTACGTATGTCTTCGTCATCCCACTGTATAAATCCTTCGCTGAGTCCTACTGGACAAGTGCCTTTCTTGTAAATACAATATTGGCCTGGAAAAACAATTGCTATTTAATTTTTCGTATTTTATTTTATCATAAAACCGGACAAATCACGACCCGATATGTTTCTTTTATGTTCATAATCCTGTTTAGTATCCTATTAAGTTACACGAAGACAGTTTAAAAGCGAAATTATAGCGAAGAGTTTTAGAAAGCACTGCTCGGGTGGCAAGAAAAAACAAAAATGGCTCGAGAGGTGAAAAGTTGGAAGAGATAGAAAGATTCCGTTGGTGGCCTATACTGCACAACCAACGAACAAGCGTTAATAAGTTTATACAGCGGGGGTATGAAATATTCTAGGGAGAAGCCAAATAGTAAAAGAAATTGAGGGTTGTTTTTGGGGTGAAATCATGTTGAAACTTTGGCCCTTGTTTATGCCCGGGAAGTGGATCAAGTTTGAGATAAAGCAAAGGTCGTTACATCCATTGTTAAAACTCACGTGACTCCAGTGAATTCTATCAATAATTACTGAGCCTTGAGAGGAAGAATCGAGTAATACCGAGATTAGTCACTAATCCAGCACAACGGGAATATCGGGAAATCTCAAAGAGCTTTAAATAACGGAATAACGAAAAAGGCGTCGTGCTGATGTGAAAGTGTCCTGTTCAACTACGAAAAGAGAGAAAGTTGAAAAAATTAAAAAATGCTTGAAAAATCATTACCCAGAGGCCATGGTTTCGCTCCAGTACCGACTTTGTGTACGTGTTTTATGCAGAAACTTCTGTTCACATGACTGTCCAAAACAACTGCATCTAAATGAAAACTATCCGAGAAGCCATTGTCGTTGGAAGAGTCTTCCGTATCTTGTACCCTCCAGCCTGTCTCCCACTCAGAGCCATGAGGGGGTTGAGGACAGCCAGTCTTGGAACGAGGAAGTCCGTATGTTCCGGATGGCCAGGTATCTGCCGCACAAAAGAAAAAATTTGGCCGTTACACTTCTGAGATCTCAATATTCATAACCCTCTCTAAAGAAAAAATACACATACGTATACAAAAATACATACACATATACATACAATCAAAAGACCAACTTTTTAAGATCACGATACTTTGAAAGCACCCACCTCTACCAAATTGTACTGTCTTGTAAATCCGTCTTGGGTCTGTAACATAATTCTCTGGTCTTGCCTCCTTGCTTTGCTTATTCAGTTCACAGATACTTTCGTCGATAACAAAGTTGATGCTCTGACACTTTTCTTCTTTATTACATCTCATGACGCAAACATGCAGGCTATTGACTTTGAATGTGTCATATGTGTGTCCTTGAAGGGCTTTTTGGAAGGCTGATTCTTGCGACTTGCACTTACCGATGGCGTTAGCACGTGCCATCCTGGATACCAAATGGAAGAAAACAACTGCACATAGCACCCCAACAGCAGTTTGGGTTCTCATGTTGTGGCTATCAACTTATTTGCGGCTTCTGTATGAAAATGAAAGAGAGAATATTCTTGCAACCAGTGTATCATCCCCTTGATATCGTAGCCAGATTCTACGGTGGAAGGACTGGGTAGGAGACTATCATCCCCTATGACAGAGTTTGCCAAGGAAAGTATATTGATGTTCTTGATGGCAAAAACACGGACGGCGGAGCAGGGTGTGAGAGGGGCTCTAATCTCCTTAAAAGCAAATTTGTGGGTGCGCAAGCAGCCCTCTCCACCTCCCACTCTCACTTAGATAAATTATGCTCGAATATGAGAGTAGGCTTTTGAGCGTCTACCTTAAAAGCAAGGTTTATGCCGAAAATAATGCTCAATGCGTTTCATTATGCCCGATTTGATAATTCGAAATAATAGTCGATAAGAGCCCACCCCACCTATTTTCTATCACTAACAGGTAAAACTTCCCAAGAATAAAAGGCTTACCGAAGTTCAGAACACAATGTTTTATTGAATCAAATTCTTATAGTGCAAGTAAAAAAAGCACGTTGGCTCACTATCGGTAATACTCAGGCTACAGAATTTATCTCCTGTTGAATTGTAACATTGAGGGAATTTTTGTAAAGTTTAGTCATTATGTCTGTATTATGCCCAACGCTCTGATTATAGCATTATACCCAAAATTACGCCGGCGTCATTTATCTGAGACTACTCCCAGTGTGTTTTTATATGAAAATTACCGCAGGTGCAGTGTTTAATTGGTTTCGTAAAACATTTAGTGTTTTTTAGCCCACAGAGCCCGGAATGATTCATAAAGATCGCACGCGATAAAAAAATATTTATTGGAGGAGTTTTTATCAACTTTCTGCCTATTCATGGTCAAGAATCGATTTAGCACAAGCTGGTAATACTGCAAAGAGGTTTCCCTGTGACAACAAACCACACATGAACGAAAAAAGAAAAGATCACACGGAGAAAACAAAATTCAGACTTAATAAACAACACGAACTTGAAACTTGGAAAACTTAACACAAAAAATAGAATGTATCAAAACACAGGGTAAACACCATGGTAATTCTTCGCGTTTTAAAATGTGTCGCAACCTTTAAAAAGAGAGTCGAGTTTCAGCAGATCTTGCGGTGACCCCGCGAAAATAACAGTATCTAAAAATCGAAAACGTCCTTTGATTTTTTTTTTCGCGATTCAGTGAAAGGAAGCACCCCGCAACAAAGGAAAAAATTCAGACTTGGAAAACAATTCGAACTTGAGCTAAAACATGGAATATTACATTACGAAATTTACTCAAAGAACTTTGTGATCATCTTAAAAATAAGGGATAAAATCAGTAGAAGGAAACGATCTTTTAATGAATTGTAACCAAATAACTGGAAAAAGTAGACGATGAACAAACTCACAAAGTATGAGATAATTGTGCTCGTGAGTTTTGACATTTTAAATGTTAAAAATCACCTTTTAAGGAGAATAACAAAGCACTTCATAAACTTACCTTTGTTAGGATTTTTGTGTTGATATATTCACGTTCAGGCTGACTTGGCCATCACAGCAACTCGTACGAGAAATTCTCAAGGATGCTGAAGATGAAAATTGCTTGAGGCGTAGCTCGTAGTTAGGTGAGTGCAACTGCTACCTACCTTGAGCGCACTCAAAACTTCTCAGGAGCTTCACGCCGAGGTTTTCTTGCTGCTTGAAAGGAAGTTCTTATTTAGTACATTTATTATGCAAAATAGAATGTGGAAGGTGGTCTAAAAAAATTTTGTAACCCGAATTTCCTAATGAGGAACAACTAGAAACTTCGAATGTTTACCTCACGTAACGCTAGGGACAATGGCAAAAAGAAGACTAAAAAGATACCGCTACCCAGATAGGGGAGGAAAGACTTCACCCATAGGACTGAAAAGCCGTGGGTGCATCTGTGAGATGCTTTTTATCAATATCGGGGAGTGGTTTGCCTGAACTCACGAACCACGCAAAAAAAAACCATTTTGACAGTTGGAAAGGGAATGTGCTTGATTTAGTGAGAGAAGAAGCCCCCGTTTTCTCCTAACGTTTCAAAATGGTACCCTGCCTTTGAAAATGAAGTTAAGGTTTGTTACTGACTCTAAAGAACACCCCATACACAGCTTGAACATGTTCTTTGTTTTCTGTATGATTCACAGGGAGCAAATGCCAATGCCAGCATGAAAAATAGAAATAATTAGCACCAGTACAATTCAACTACACCAATTTACTGGCGAATGTATGACAACAAACTTCAAAAGCTTATTATGCTCATCTCACTGGGGGAAACACTAAAAATATTGGACAAAATAGGACCAGCAAGATATTTATGCTTATCCAAGGCAGAGGTGCCCAAAGGTGCCCCAAGGTGCCCAAAAACATTTTTCAGAGACACCTACTGAGTATATTCAAGACGCTGAAAAATCAACTGTCCCTCTTGGCATTTAATTTACACCTGTGTTGAAGTTTGGATAACTGGGCGTTGCATGGCAATCGCTAAACACAACTAGACTTTGTTTTTATCATAACTCGCCCTACGGGCTCTTCAAAATACGGCACAACTCAGGCAAAAATACTTAGCGATACTACACAACAAAACGTCTAATAAGATATATTCACTGGCTGTTAAAAGTGATTTCCTTTGTTGTTATTAGTTGAATAAGTGGGCGGTGCATGATGGGTAATAGCTATTGATATAACAATGTTATGGGAAAATCCAACGAAAGAGTTTTTTGGGGAAAGAGAAGCTTCGGTAAATATAACAGAGGTTCGAACGCTCAGTTCGAACGCTTAGCGTTAGCTCGTGCAACGTGAAGGGCATTAGACATTAGGACTGAAAAGATAACGATATTTACCAAAAGGCGGAATAAGACTTCATATAGAGGACTGAAAAGCAGGTGTATTTGTGAGAAGCTTTTGTGGGGGTCTGGGAGAATTTATCCTTATCATCCTGATCCACCTCACCATTAATCACCATTCCATAACTTCATTGGGGATCATTTTAAGTCTGGGGATTATTCAGGGGTCGATTTGGGGATCATTTTAATGCTTAGAACCTTCATAAATCTTAAGAGGTAAAGAGAGTGTTAAGAAAGTTCAATAAACTTGCAGGGTTCAGATTCAGCTTCAATTATTACGGAAAATCTACTCCATATTCAAAAAACAAAGCGATAGTAGGACTCAATCAATATTTTGAATTGAATTTTGAAAGCAATATTGGATTGCTCCGTTTTTCGCTATGTGATTGGTTCAGAAAACTCGCGCCACTTTCTCAACCAATCAATCAGATGCAAAACTGAAACCAAGCTCAACTTGGTCGCCTGTGTTTTCCCGCACGTATTAGGGAGTTTGGTTGTTTTCACTATGAGTCGTTATTATCCAGCTGCACAAAGTGGAGTAAAAATAACGCGGCATTAGAGTACAGATGTCCTGCGATCTTGCACAGTTGGTTATTTTGTAATGTAAGAAACTTGTTTAATCGGTTAGCTGCGCATGCTACGCTTCTCTCTCTGCCTCGCTTTTCACGCCTAAATAAAGTAAACAAATAGGTAAAATAAAGCAATTGGATTATAACAACTTATCAATCTTTTTTATATGAAGTATCGCTGAGTACTTTCACTATTTGTTTTTATCATAACTCGCCCTACGGGCTCTTCAAAATACGGCACAACTCAGGTAAAAATACTCAGCGATACTACACAACAAAACATCTAATAAGATATATTTATTGGCTCTTAGAGGTATTTTCCTTTGTTCCGATCAGTTGTTATGATAATTTAAGCTTTGGTTTTCCGGCACTCATGCAATCGAACGTCGCTCTATCAAGAACATTTGTCTTCTCGGATTGGGTCAAGAGAGGTGTCCGTAACATCACCCAATTATATTTCGACTAAGTAGTCTAGAATCGGCCCCGAAGGTTAAGGGGGAGCTCAGGTGAACTAAGACGGCGACGGAGATGACAAAGTGGAAAAACAAAAGATCTTATGGGTAGAACAATATCTTGGCACGTGCGTTTTAAAACTTTGTATTGATTTTTTTCATCTGTCCTCTGCAAAGCAGCAAAGTGAAATCACCAAAATTTACGTGCTCCGAGAGCGGAAATCCCGACATAAATTTTTTTTAAGTTTCCATCTGGAACTCAACACTGATCACGTAGGTTATGCTAAATTTGAGTTGTGACGCGCTATGTGAGGATAAGCACATTTTTAAATCGACGTCCTCCTCGGAATTGCCTTCCTGACTGCGTAGGGTCCCTAACGATGTAAGCACGACAGGCTTTGTATTTTCTAGTGACTCAACTGAGCAAATATCTTCTTAGCGGTTTCTCATCAGTTTCTCCCCTTCTGCAAAATCTGCGTAAAAGGAACCATACAAGTAGCTATATCAAGGCTGTGCCACTTCTAAATTCATTTCTTTGATTTTTTATTCATATTATTACTATCTCTCACGGACACGCATCGGAGCCATTTTTTTTCCGAAGAGCTTCCTGAAGAAGACTTTCCTGAAAAAGACTTCCTGGAGAAGACTTTCCTGAAAAAGCAAGGGTGAATCCCTAAATTTGCACTAGCTTCTTAGGGGCATTTGGGAGAAAGTGTTAACCTTTCAGGTTTTTCATTGCCAGAGAAGGGGTCACACACACACACACACACACACACCTATAGTGCCTCATGAACTGTGCCCTATTTTCTTGAAATCGTATAAAAATTCTTCATTTTGAATCAGATGCTAACAGCAAAACGCTGTTAATATGTGGGTGTGTTCTTCGTTTTACAAGATACAAAAATTATATGAAATTGTGAAGGGGATGATTTAGAAACAAGTCACTCTTCAACTGAGTCGCTGATAGCTCATGTGTGAAGATCACCAAGTCACTGAAGTATGCAAGAGCCGTGGTGCCACTGTCTCTTTTCAAGCCAATATCATAGAGAGCATGACCAGAGTTTTTGAAATCAAGGACAGGATTATCGCTGACAACGTGATTCACTTTCCTTTCACCATTTATGTAAATCCTAAACGTGCGCTCTGATCTTCCCCAAGTGATTGCCACGTGTCTCCAAACATCTGTTTCCACGACATCTCTGTAAAAGAAACGTTCAACACAAGAAAGCTAAATAAAATTCGCATATGTGAGTGAAGCTTGTAACAAACTAAGTAAAATACTTGGGAAAGACATTATTGAAATATTTTTATGAGCGTGGTAAAAAGAGAAACTCCTATTCCTGGCGAGGATTCGAGTCTCAGCTAGCCTTTCCTCCATGCATTGATTAATTAATTGCGCGCGATAATAGCGGCCCAGGAAGTCGAAAGTAAGGCAAAGAACAAGTTCCTTCTTCTCGTTCCCTCTTTCTTTGCTTCATTTCTTGACCCTATGGTGGCGCTATCGAGTCGCCGTTTGTTCAGTGAACACCTGGGATAGGATAAACCTCGGCAACTGGTTCCGATTTTGCGACCGGCTGCTCGCCAACAAATTTACAGCGCTGTATGAAGTTCACGCATGCATAGAACTAGCAAATTACAGTTCGAGGTATTAGGACGCATGTTGTGATACTGCATGGCTCAACTGCACAGGAGCATTGCACTTGGTAGCGGGCTTTGGATTTTGGACTTCCGGCTTAAGTCCTGACAGAACACCAAGCATATTGAGTCATTAAATCGTATTTCGGAAGTCTCAAACTAATCAAACTCTCCTCATTTTAGAGTTGAAGCTGCATCTCGAGCCAAAAATTTGTAAAGGAGTTTATTCAACTGTTGCGTGACCCTTACGGTCAGTTTTCGCAGTGGAAAATTGCCACCTCGTTGATCGTGACAGAAAAATTGTACTTACCTTGACTTTGTACATGGAGTCATCATGTCGCTTACTCCACCTACGTCTCGTCTTCCTTGGAAACACAGCTGACCATTTATCTCAATGCCAATTCGGAACTGATGCGGAGAAGACCAGTCTGAGTAAATTTCTTGCCTTCTTGTTAACGGTGATTCTAGAAAGATCCAAACTGCAATTGTTAGGTCAGTTTTTTGGAAAGGAACTGATGGTGTCTCTGCGAACGTCCCTTGGGTTCCGTCTAAATACAGAACAGTTCTGCCGCTTTTCCGGACAAACTTTGCCGCTCCTCGTAATCTAGAAAAAACAAAAGTGATTTTTAGTAAATCATAGGGCTTAACGATGACGTGAAAAAATAATTAAATTCTTTAAGAAGATCTTGAAGAGAAGGTGGAAAAAAATTCTGAGGAAAAAGAGTCGTGGGGTCTGTTGCGCACAATCAGAAACCGCCAAAACATTTCATGCTTAGGCAACAAACTGCCGGAAAGAACATCGCTCAGGACAGCAACTAAGAATAAAGTTCTGAGCCGAGAAGAAAATGATTAGGCCTAAGAAGCAGATGAAATAATAAAAACATTCTTCCAAAACTTATCGCTAAAACTGGAAACCTAGAAGCCACGTATGGTATATAATTCCTTAGTGTGTAATTTTGTAAGTATTACCTGGAATTAAGAGTAAAATTATCCTCACTGAGTTTTATCCCGATTATCCTATCCTGAGCCCTCTTTAATAATACTACCTCAATTCCCGTTGTAGCATAATTTAAAACGACAAAGCATTTTTTTCGTCAGCACTTATCCTAAAGAACTCGATTCCTTACGTTAGCGAGCTGTCCGTGCCACTGAGTGTCCAGTGAAAGAGGGAACCTGGAAAATTTTATTGATACCATAATTAATGTTTCAATGGCAATAGTTTTCTATTATTAACACCTCAATTAAGCAACCGAAGAAAGATGAAGAATTCAAGAAGGCTCTGCTCTGCGCATGCACCTGGTAGGAGTCATGCTTGGAGGATAGGGTCAATTTTCCACCGTCCACTTCAGCAATTTCTATGCGTGATTAATATTATTGAAGGAATTGAAGACAGATCTATCTTATAAATGTGATGAATATCTAACATTGCTATAATTGCTCGGGTGATAATAGAGATGCGCATGTTCTGACTGGTCGAGAATTGCGTCATATCTCAGGGGCGCTAAATTTCAAAATGGCTGCCTCGCGTTTTGCCAATGTTGTACAGGAAGCGGCAAACGTAAAAGAGTAAAACACAATTCTAGTCATCAGACTCCGATAATCCCCTCGACTTCGTCTAGGGGATTATTCAACAATATTCACTGAGCCTTAGCAGAATAATTGTTAAGTAATTCTAAGATAGAAAATAGAGAAGAGGAGGAGGAACAGTTCAAAAGTTTTCAATTAGTTTTTTGGAGGTCTCTCTGCAAAAAAGTTGATTGAAAAATGATCTAGAAGTACCTCTCTCTTTGTAGCACAACTTCGTGCTAAAGAGAAACGAGGTCACTCACTATAAACCAAGATATGTGATTGAAAAGAAGCAACCCATGATGCTTTAGATTTCGCGGGTAAAAATCTTTACGAATCAAAATTATTTTATATCTGCGAATTGTTTGAAACGTCAGCATTGTAATTGTTAAAAAAGAGAAAAAAGAGACCTTTTGTCTCCAAATAACAATTGGTCCACTCGTTCTTGCCGGTATTGTAAGGGTCAAGCCAGTAATGACCATTAACAGCCTCTTCTCCTTCACTCGCCTTAATTTCTGCGCATGACTTGGCCGGCAGTTCAGGGATCGAGCCAAGAGGAACTGAAGATAAAAATTGTGAAAAATTTAATGGATTTAAGTGATTTATAAAGTACAATGTACTTCAGTGCATTACCACTTTCATTATTGCTTGTGAGCAGGTCTTCAATAATAGCTTTTCGGAACAAGCGGTTTCTCGCTTGCGTGAGAGCACGAGGCTTTGAGGAAAGGTTTGTAATAGGTTTAGCACTCATTTTAGTGCTCCTGCGTAGTTTACTGAACTAAACAGAGACCCTCTCAAGCAAACCTCTCCCCGACTGGTCTCAAATCTTCCACGACCCCTCATTCTTGCCGTGTTTGAAAAGGATCTTATTTACTTAAAAACTGAACGGGCGTCCTACAGAGCTCTTAACCCTTTAATTCCTAAGAGAGACTAGCATCTAATTTCACCTCACAATGTCACCCCTGAATCACTCATTTAGGCCACGAGAATAAAGGAAATGATCACCAAGTAGAGAAGCTCTTGATTTTTAAACAAATTCTCCTTGTCAGCATATTGTGAAACGTATAGAGAGCAGTATGGAGAATATACATACTGATGTTAGGGTGTAAAGGGTTAATGAGGACCTTCTCGTGGGCCATGAACTTCAACCCTTGAACCCCTAAGAGCGACTCCACATCTAATTTCTCCTTATAGTGTCACTCCTGGATCAAACATTAAGGTCATGAGAATAAAGAAAATGATCAACGACTAAAGTAGCTCTTGATTGTTAAACAAATTCTCTTGTCAGTTCCTCGGGAAATGTATACAGAACACTGTGAAGAATATGCATTCGGATGTTAGGGTGTATAGGGTTAATTACTGTGACCGTCGCTACTACCACTAACCTCTATCACTACCCCTACCACCATCACAGCCACTATCACGGATGATATCCGTTCATACTGAAAGACTCTTTGCCATGATCAAAAATAAAAGGTGCGTTGTCTCTAAAAGGGTCTCAATGGCCGGGGGGTGATGGCTTTTTTACGGCAGACGGTTAAAGTTTGGCCATTTTACGGCTAATGGTTAACATCATTCTTCTGTTGTCACCAAAATTTTTTTTACGGTTGACTTTCTTTTTACGACTATCGGTTAAAATTTGTCAATTTTTACGCCTTACGGCTAATTTTGGCTGTATTACAGCTATCGGCTATCCTCATGGAAAACCTCCTCTAACAAACGACAACTTAACAAGTCATTGTTCATCAACTTACCCGTTGCAACAAAATAAGAAATACAAACTAGGAACGAAGCAAAAGAAACTCCACTACATTTCCCCATGATAATCTCTAGAGGAAAATCTTGGAATACACTTAGGAATAAACCTTGGGCAACCGATAAATTTAATCAACACCTTAAGCTATTTTTTTAACACCCACCTCTATTAAGATATACCGTCATGTAAATCCGTCTCGGATCTTCTACATAGCCATCTGGTCTTGCCTCCATGCTACGATTATTCAGTTCGCAGATACGTTCTTCAAATACAAAGTTGATGCTCTGACATCTTTTTTCTTTTTCACATCTCTTGACGCAAACATCCGGGCTGTTGACCCCGAATGTGTCATAGGTGTGTCCTTTCAGAGCTCTTGTGAAAGTTGACCCTTGCGATTCGCACTTGCTGATGGCGTTAGCGTATGGTGTCCTGTATACCATAAGTAGGAAAATAACCGCACACAGCACTCTCAGAACTTTGAAGGTCTCCATATCACAGCTATCAGCATATGCAGCTCCTTTAATGTACCAAAAAGTAAGTTTTTTCAGAACCAAGTAATCGTTTCTAATACTTTTCCACTTATAGCCAAGCGAAACAGAGGGGGCTGGGGAAGAGGGGCTATAGCTCTACCCTCCATCCCCCGAAAAAAATAGAAAAGAAAACTTTGGGGATGAGACGTGTGTTGTGCACCTATCCCCCCTATGCAGAAAATTTCGCAAACTTAACCTAAAATTGGCTTGGCAAGATCTAAAGTTTTTTCTCAAGTTATTTAATCAAGATCGCGCTTGGCGAGAATAGGTAAATCGGTGGCGGTATTGTACTGATAAGAAAGTAATATTATAAAACATGGCGATTTATAAGGCTTGCATTGAAAATTGAAACTACAAAAAGAAAAACACTTCTGATTTCGCGAAGAAGAGAAGACCACTTATGGACTTAATTTTAGACATTTGCTTTTGTTTTGGCTGGTTTTAAAACCCTGTCTTTATCCTTACTGACCGATAACCACTTTTTACTAATTAGCTGACGGAAGACACGGAAAGATTTGAGAACACGGAGGATGGGTAACTGAGCTCTGAGGTATTTGAGCTCTCTTCAATTTTTTCGGAGTGCATCATCTCTCGACAAACACAGAACTGTCCTAGGAAGTTATTGTGTTATATCCTTTTCAAAGCCACAGTTTATGCACATTTCAAGGGTATTTCCTCTGCTTCACCTCGATACATGCACACATAAACATATAGGTCATCAAAGTACACAAACGGATACATTTCTTTACGATGTTATATAAACATTGAAATCCTGATAACAAACATTAAGCCATCACCTAAGGCTACGCCAAGATGATTTGACGAAAAAAGACAAACCAATTAGCGTACTTAACGAGGGAGGAAAAAGACTTAACTCAGACTACTATAAAACAGGTGCATTTGTAGGAAGGTTACATGGGAATCTGGAGGCATCTTTTCAAAAAATATTATCAGGTTTCCCCTTCTCCCCTCTTCCTCACTATCTTCAGCCGCGGATTTCTTAATATTAGAGACTGGTCCATTCCGATAATGCAAACAAAATAAACCATATCCTTTCGCGAATCATCTTCTTCAAGTCAAAAAGGCTTACAATCAGTAAGAATCTAGAATTTGCCATGCCAATAAATTCATGTTTTCTCAGGGATTTGACTCAAAGGAAAATTTGTCTTTGTTTCACTTAGTTTGACCGAACTGATCATAACAAGGAGCATTTTCGCTTTGAGCATAACATATGCTGAATAGAATCTCTTGATGCATTGGTGATCAGAAAATTAAGAAGGGGTGGATATGTCTCGTTTTTAATTTACTTCACGTTTGAACTAAGCCATCTATTATTTATTGCACAAAGGTGCCTATTCTTTAATCCTTGTTTACTTGTAAATTATTATTTGCCCGTGTTACTTGAAAGCACCTAAAAACAAAAAGTGCTAAAGTGTTGTTTTAACAATCTAGTGGATCCTCATTCAAACAAACTGGAGCTTCAGCTGAAAGTGAGAAATAACCTTGTGATATTTTCTACTTTCTTTCTCTATTTCCTCGCAAATCAAACAACTTTTGAAAGTCCAATTTTAAGTACGCCTAGAATTGAAGCATTTTAACCATATTTTTAAATTTGCATGTTGGCTACAGCTGTTTGAAAAGGAATCACTTGAGATAAGTGTAACTTTCGACGCATAGAGAATATCGCAGTGCTTCAGAAAATGCTTTGCACAACAGGAGTTGATAAGTTGACCTGTTAACGCGCTCTTCAGGCAAATTTACCCATAATTGTACATAGGTATAGTTTGGGCTGATTCTTACCTATAAGAAGAAAATTCGTTTCCTTTGCTCGTTCAATCCCGACAACAAACGTTTCCAATGCGTTTCAGCATTAAATAGGCCGGTAATATCCTCTCTGGATTTAAGCGATGTCTTTCTTGCTGGTTCTTAATGTGGGGCTGTCGTAACTACTACCCTTAATTGGATCGCAATCGAACGGGATAGCTTCGTCTGTACTTCGCATAATAATGAGTCTTCTGAACTAATTGCACCGACCCCCTATTTCTATTGGCTAACAGTGGGCTTAAAGTGTATTCCAAAATTAGTTCTGTGGTAATTGTGCAACCTCGTTAATTCAAGATAGCACCTGCAAAGAGCTTTTTATTTAAAAAAAGAGTGTTTAGTAATATAAACATTTTTGGCAAAAGTGTTGGAAAGAGAAAACTTGTTAAAAAATTTCAGTTAACTTCAAACTAAAACGGTTCCTTCGAGTCATTTTTTTTTCTTTGACAGGAAAAATTGATAGAGTTTCTTTCGTTTCACAACCTGTTTCGTGCAAGATTCTATAGTAAAGATGTCTGTACAATAATTATTTGTAACAGCAGGGTGTTTAAATGACTTTGAAGAAACGTCTTTTCGCAGATGCGTTGTCAGTAAATATTTGACCATTAATTCTACTGTGAGAGAACACAAATTACCTTCGCGGCAGAAAGTGATTTATGATGAAATTTCATATCAAAAAAAGTGAGGAATTTGTGGAGAACTAAAATGACTGCGAGGAATTGCTAAATCAAATTATATATTTATGTGCTGATTGCTTGTCTCATAATTTATTTCGGCGAATGTGCTCAAAATTATACCAACGACTTACGTAACTTGACAATCAGTCGATTGGTGGAAGTGAACCAACTACGTATAAAACAATTTTATCATATTATTTTTATGACGAGTTGAATAAATAACAAGAACATACTGTTCAAAGAGGGGGTTGCAACGCCCTCAAACCCTCGCCTGGATCCGCCTCTGTAATATCTTCTCATTATAACCTATGTAGCCTTATTTTGACCATCAAGGAACTCTTTAGCTTTTGCCTAACGCTTGCTGTTATTGTTGTTGTTGAAAACGTTTTACTGATTTTCTATGAAAAGCAAACATTAAAGTATCGGCAAAAATACGAGTTACTTCAGAATTTCACCTACTTCAATTAAACTGGTGAAATGTACATCAATTAATTCTGAAGGTTTAAAAAGACAATCGTTATTGAGTGGTCTGTTATGTTGGTCGATACTCAGCCGTTACTCTACCGAGTATATGGAGAACTTAAAAGAGCAAATGGGACTGGCACTAGTCCGAGAATGATGCATTGGATGGCGACAAAACGCTACCAATGAGCATTCAGACATTTGTTAACTAACGTTCCCTCCTGGACGTTTAAGCGAACAAGATATTGATCGAGTATCGACCGATACTTGACCGACAGTCGACCGATATATAACCGATAGTTGACCGATATACCACTGACAGTATCGCGGTCGATATGTCGACCGACACCATGAGTATCATTAAGTGGACTACCGGTCGATACATCGGTCGATACTGGACCGATATATCGACCTGTACTCGATCGAGTATCGACCGATGTATCGGTCGAGGCCCCCCATAAGATACATGATCCCTTATGATACATGATCCAAAATTTTTCTTTTGATCATAAAAGAAGGAAGTTAATGGATAGCAATAAAATGGCCAGAATTTTAACCGCTAACTGCAAAAGCCATCACCCCATTCAGATCCTTATGATATTGTTTTTAAACCGGGTCTGAGAGTCGATTGATTAGAAAACCCGGGTAAACAGAAGATAAACAAAACAAAACGGGTACTGCAGTTTAAGCTAGTTTATGCCAGGAGCTCCACGACTTAACACCTTTATTTTTGTGTTGTTATGTTGCATGGCTGCTTAACGAATGCCCAGATTCGATTAGTCAATCAGTCAAATCGTGATCTCAAAAAACAGTCACAGTACCTCTGCTTTGGTTTCCAGTATCGAACAGTTTTGACTTTGGTGCAGACATTTGTTACAGCGCTCTCATTCGTATTTTGACATCGAGAATGTTTGTTGAAATTTGTTAACACGTTTCATAGGACAAGAATGATACTTTGCGTTGCTCTTATTGCGTTGCTCTTATTGCACTCTTCATTATAGCTTAATTCGGACAGTGAGATTTACCTCCTCTAGCTTTTAAACATCTAGCTATACTTAGAGTATACAGACCTATTTAGCAGAAAAAAGCTATTCAAAGTCTACAGGAGCCCATTACTCCTGAAGTCTTTATATATGAAACAAGTAAAACTGACCGGAAAAATTAACAATGCAATTGATTTTGAAAAGATCACTACCCTTATCGGGCTTTGATATAGAACTGTAACTTTTTTGGGGCTTTTTCGGCTGTAAATCAACCATGTTCAGAATGGCACGTTCGCGAAATGACGTAATTACTATAATTAAATGACCGGCTTTTTCTGGTTGTGGATCTGGCTTTTGCTTATAAATCGTGGAGTGGAATTTTCCGAATTTACTTTAGTTTACCTTTCAACAAAGTGATATGCATTCTTCTTCCTTCCGAAAAAAAAAAAGGGAATAAAAAATTCCCTGATAAAAAGGGAAATCAAATGCCACAAATTTTTTTTAACGGAAAAGTTAATTTTTAAGCCTAAGTCCTGGTTACCTAGCAGCGAGGCGCGTTGGTTGCCCTATGTCAACCGTTAAACAATGAAGAGAATATTATTTTTGATCAGTTATAATTTTACTTCTCTTTGGTGACGGAGATCGGTAACTTTTTTTTTTTTGTAGCTATTACTGCTGTTAAATTTTTCTCCTTTTATTTCAAGCCAAAAAATGCAATGTTTTAAAAGTTAGTCAGACATACGGCTTGAAACTACCGTCCCCGAGTGGATCGAAAATAAATTCTTATTACCACGGGGTTGTCAAAATCATACTTCGCGTTCAAATTGACCGTGGAAGTCAAATTCTATCGAGGCTTAAAGAAGCAATCATAATTGCACATTGTTTTTAACACAATTCGGGTCGCAGTTGAGGAGTAGAGACTCCTTACGTAAGGAAAACTGGTAAATATCGAGTGTGGATTACAAAATAGTAAATGCTGCAGAGAAGATAACAGTGTTGATATTGAAAATGCGGCAAGTCTGGGGACGCTCAGTATGGCAACTGCGTTCGAATTTTGCGACTTCGAACCTGCTCGTCGTGTTGTGTTTATTCGCGATATTTTCAGCTGTTTCGGGCCAAGATTCATGTAGTGTTGGACCTTGTTATCCTTCTCCTTCGGACATTTCAAAGTATTTTAATGTTACGGCGAACTCAACTTGCGGTAACCCGTCAGAGCTATACTGCGTTAACTTGGATTGCACTAAAGTTTGCAACGCATTCGACGATAATCTTGCACATAGTGCCAGTCTTGTGAAGGACGATTTTAGCAAAAACACTTTCTGGAAGTCAGAAAATTACGAGTTTCCTGTGGTTCTACAGCTAGAGGTCCGAAGAACTTTCATGCTGTATCAGTCTGTGGTTACTTTTTATCACGAGTTACCGGCTGCAATGTACCTTTTGAAGTCAAATGACTCTGGAAGAACATGGAATCCCCTAACCTACTTTGCAACGAACTGTACAAAATATTTTAATCTACCAGAAACGCCAGAGAACGAAAGAGAGGGTTTGAAAATTCAGTGTTTCAAAATAGACACCGCTACAAATCTCAACAAGCAGGTAAGCTTTTTTGATAGGACATATTTATTTTGTAGATGCTGCCGTTGGGATTAGCTCACTGTTGTTGGTACCATAATTTCGTAGCTTTATAAAGTGCCACAGCAATGGTGAATTATTTGAGCAATCGTTGTTACATCAACCACCTGCAGATAGATAGTGTGTTTGAAAGAAGTGGTTACTGCGTTTACTTTGACTTAAAAATTGTGGTTGCAGAGGTTTCCCGTACCTGTTAATCGAGGCACATTATACCAAATTGATGCTATTTATGTCGGAAAGTTGCTTCACCTTTATCTAATAACCTTTGTGTTCAACAATCTGTGACAAGTTATATAAAATGGTCAATTGAAAGGAACCATAGTTACTAACTTCCTCGTAAACGCAGAATCTTGGTTACGAAATGTTTACTGAACCTTTACCATTTCTAAGGATCGCATTACCACTTTGCCAAATGTTGATTGACAAAAAATTGATTAGAAAGATTCTGTGTTACATTTTCTCTTATATTTCGCCACAAATCCGCTCAATATTCATTGATTACTTAGTCAATGTAATTCGACAAAGGAATTCATGCGAAGTCAGGAAAAACGTGCTAGAAATTTGTAATTCAATTCTTAACGCGGAAGACGATTAGATTTTTCAGACTTTGTTTGACTTACTCTTCACGAAATCGATAATAACCATTAACATTTTAAATTGAAATTATTCTTGTTTTTTACGATTAAGAATACTTCGGTTAACTTGAGGATATTGTAAAGCACAACTGGAGGCTTTTTTTTTATCCCGCTGTGTTCATGAAGAACATAAAATGTTCTGGAATGCAATGGTCTTTAGTTTGTACATAAACAGAGCTGAAGCTATTGTTTACATTTGCAGATTGGGTTTTGTTTGGTGAATTTTTCAGAGATGATATCACATATTTACATCTTTGCCTCTGATTATGATTTGCATTAACTTGTATTTTTAAAGAAGGAAAGAAAAGGAAAAAAAAAGAAATCAAAATTTCAGTCACTCTCAGGCTGAAACCAGGGACAATTTGTCAAAATTACTTGCAGCTTCCAGTAGTTGGTTCAGTTAATTTGCAGCTTTTCAAGTAGAGGTTGAGTTTTATCTTTTATATTGCAAATGAATGACTGCTTAACTACTTATTTATCCTTGAAATGTTTTTAGCAGTTAATGAAATGTTTTACATGGACACCTGTAACTTATCATATCACTTGAGGGTTAGAACCTTAAAAAACTAATGAATACAATAATTGATTTGTATATTATTCAAAACAGCATCAGAGAGATAATTTGTTGCAGTACTGTAAAAGCACATGAAACACCAGAAAAAATTTTTAAAATTTATTCCAAATGATGTTTAAAAAGTTGCTGTTGATAATACTTTTTTAAGGAATGAGTAGTGATGGACATCAATTATATCAAATGATTATTTAGAGAGATTTCTGCATAGCCCTATACTTCATTATGCGTTAAGTTCTTTAATGAAGAAAACAATAAGTGAGGGACAAAAATTTTTGTTGATCAGTCAGAGAAACATAGTAGAACAAAACCAACTCAGCTCTGGATTTTATTCAACACTGAATTGAACCTTGCCTGTAGGGTTAAGAGTGACACTGCAGAGGCAATAAATATGTTTTGCATATGCAGCATTCCCCTGTTGTAAAGGAATGGAATAAAGGAGAAGGGTCCAAATATTAGAATACATCTCTCAAAGCAAAATCAACTCAACTCTGGATTTTATTCAACACTTAATTGAACCTTGCCTGTAGGGCCAAGAGTGATTAGACAGCAGAGGTAACTGATATGTTTTACCTACAATGTACATATAGTGTTCCTCTATGGTAAAGTAATGCTGCAGTAATGGAGAAGTGTTGATTTTAAAAATCTTGGATCAAATATAAAAATACATCTCTCTCTCTTGTAGCTCTTTTATACACCAATGCAAGATCCAGCAGCAGCACTAAACCTTCTCACTGATACAGAGAAACAGGCCTTCTTTCTTATGACTGATATAAAAATGGTTCTGGTCAAGTTTATAATTCCTGGTGGGGTTGAAACATTAACAGATAGTCTCAAGAGAAGCTTCTTCTTCACTGTGTCAGATTGGGATGTGTTAGCATCTTGCTTCTGCAATGGCCAGGCATCAAAGTGTGATCCAGATGTAAGTACACTGTTGAAAATTCAAGTGTTTTCTCTTCTAGTTTAATGTACACTTCTGTAGCTATATTCTGCAGAAACATGGTTACCCTCCAGTTTAGTCAAAATCAAAGTGATCAATATGTTACCATCATCCACGCACCTGTTACCAGTCAAACAGATTAGTGTATAATTTGTACTGTATATTATGATATTGAAAATTCTATTGAACTTTAATTTGTGTGTCATAATTATGAAAAGAAATGTGTGTATGTCTGATTTTACTATGATATCACTGATATCATATTACATGTAAATTCTTAGGACTTCTCCAAGTGCATATGTGAAAGGAATACTGATGGTCCAAACTGTGAAAAGTGTTTACCACTTTACAATAACAAACCTTACCAGATACGAGAAGCATGTGAAGGTGAGATCACAAGATCTGCAAGACTGTTCAAAGTTGTTTTTTGTCTTTGCTTTTGGTTTTTTGTCGCTGTTTATTTACATTGATGGAACTTTGATAATAATTTCCTTCAAATTCTTAAATATTTTGCTAACGTATTTGAAAAAAATTTTGTGTTGATCTAGATGATGTGAAAATGCTGAAAAATGATGACAAGTTTTGAACATTGCCATCAATTTTTCAATCTTGGTGGAAAAATTCTTTATCTAGATTCATTCTCAAATTCTTTCAACTCCTGTTTTATTAGGATTAATTAGGGGTAAGGCATAATATAAAGTGCATTAATCAACCTAGATTTAAAATCTTTAGCCCTACAATTTAAATTTCATTACAAGATATATATATGCACTCCATCATGATGACAAAAATCCTTTCTTTGATTTAATTTTTTTAGGCATGTTACTAATTAAATTTAACCAATGCTCTTGTTTTCAGCATGTGAATGCAATAGTCATGCTGACAGCTGCTCCTACAATGAAACAAAAGGATATGGAGTTTGTAATGATTGTAAGCACAACACAACAGGGGATATGTGTCAACTTTGTAAGGAGACCTTTTACAGAAACTCAGCTGTATCACCGAATACCACCAATACTTGTCTGGGTAAATATCTTCTTTTTGATGATAGTCACTCTGTGTCTGTACACTATAAATGAACATGTCTGTTGCTAGGCTTGTAAAATAATAATTATACTATTGTGCAATTATACTATCATTAGGTTCAGAGTACTTTAAGCAGCAGTGATCTTTTTAGGTGGTGACTGGTAAAAATTCCCTGCCTTTAGTTCCTCTTATAACAGCTTAAACTAGCCTGGAGTTCTTGAAAATAATATTCAACAAGTTAATTGTGCTAGCAATTGGAAATTATATTTTACATTTCATTCTTGAAATAAGGAAGAACATTGGATCTGTAGAGAAAATTAATTTTAAAGGTTTTTTTTAATTGATTTAATTTAGTAACTGAGGAACTTATAAATTAAAATATAGAGCCATATTAAAAGTACATTATAACTTCTGATCATTGCTATCATATTTTTCAGTGACCTCAAGAATTGTGATAGTACACTTATTACTGAAGGTTATTTTATCTGTAGGATAATTTTTAACTAATTTTGTATATCTTGATGTTTTAAAGCCTGTGCATGTCATGTTCCTGGTGTAAACACTTCAGCTGACAGCTCACGGTGTGATAGTGTTACTGGTCAGTGTGCATGTAAGAGTCGAGTGATGGGAAGGGCCTGTAATATGTGTCGCGATACTTACTGGAAACTAACTGCAGACAACGAGGCAGGCTGTGAAGGTATTCAATTAAAGAGTATTAGAAAAAAGTTTCTGAACAACAAATGTTAAGGGAAATACTACTTATTTAACCCTCTTACTCCCAAATGCCATTGGTTATTCTTCTTTAAGTTATTGTCTGCTATACAATTCATATGATGTTAGTTTGGAGAATTAGGTATAAAATCTATTGGTAATCCCTTAATTAATACTTTTATTTTCTCATCACTTGTCTGCTTAATATTGTATTGATAAAGTGAGGAGAAATTCTATCTTGGTCACTCATGGGAATTAAAGGGTTAATTATTGCCAACTTGTAGTCAGCATTGAGTTTGTGACCTGTATCATTGAAGGAACAATACAAGCTGTTGAGTTAATATTAGGTTATCTCACCTGTGTTTTAAAAGAGCTGAATCATGCTTCAAACATGCACTGAAACTTATATCAGAAGTTATTTATGTGTAGTACTGTAATATTTTGACTGGATGTTTCTACTTGACTTGATTTTAGAATGCCACTGCAATTTAACTGGAACAGTCAACAGTTCCAATGTGTGTGACAAGATAACTGGTCAGTGCCCCTGTAAGCAGCTACTCACAGGAAGGACATGTAACCAGTGCCAAGTGAGTCCACTATTTCATGTACAAATATTTTTTTTTTATTGTAAGCCAACTGATGTCCACAAAACAGTTTAAAAAAAAAGGTTTGCCTGTTTTATGTATTATGGAGCTAATTTTGAATTGTGGTGAAGGCAGGGAGAGGGGGCACTTTTTTTTAAGAAGGCATTCATATGAAAGGAGGTGCAAATTCAAGTAATTTCTGAACAGAAGTAGTTTGATAACTGAAAAATAATACATTTTTCACAAGGATGGATACTTTGGATTGACATCTGAAAACCCTGGCTGTACTGCATGTAACTGTGACCTGGCTGGCTCAGTAAATACCTCATGTTCTTCATCTGGGAAATGTTACTGCCGTCCCAAGTTCTCTGGGGAGAAATGTGACAAGATTGATGAAGGCTTCTTTGTGCCAAGTGTAGATTTTATGACGTTTCAGGCTGAGGATGCTACACCCATAACTGTAAGAAGTGTTCATCTCTATTCTCATGCTGCTATTTGTCAAAATCAATGAAGGTTGTCTATGTTTAGTGAACATTAGAAATTAATATTTGATTACTTGGAGCACTAATTTGTCCAAAGGTTTGGGAACAGTCTCTCTCAACTATTTAGGTCTGTAAAGTGGATTAATATTGTTGCATAGTGTTCTTGTGATTTCGCCCTTCACCTTTGAGAAGTGATGAATCTTGTGTGAAATGAGCTGAGACCAAATTAGTCTTAATAAGTCTGAAGTAACTCTCTTCACTGTTTGGACAGCATGAAAAGTCTGGGCAAAAAAAGGAAATTTTTACTATTAAAGCAGTGTGTCTTATTTGATATTCTGATTACCATTTTTAACTGTACATTGCAAGAGCAGAAGGAGGAGGAAGTTCTCTTTTTGGAGCCATGTGGGTCCCCCAGAAAGATTATGTGCTTAGTCATGATGGAGCAGGTGGATTTAACCCTTTAACTCCCAGATCAAATTGGTTATAACAAATCAATTTGTAATAATTCTCCTTACTGTCGACCATACAATTCTTTGAATGTTAGTTCAGATAATTTAGTATTGGATCAACTTATTCCCTCCAAATTGATATTTTCCTTTATTCTTGTCACTTATCTGGTTGATATTGTATAGATATTGTAGGGATAAATTCTGTCCTGGTCACTCATGGGAGTTAAAGGGTTAAGGCCATGAATGACCATTCTGTCTCCTTGTTTATTCTGCCACAGTAAAGATGACTCTAGACTTGATGGATGGAAAAGCACCAACTGTGTGAAGTTGTTGCTGAGTAAAGGTCCCTGCTCTCAGCTCCAACAACAACCTTGATGTTATTTATGATTTAAGGTTTTTCTCGGTGTACAGTATGTACTAAGAACTGGTAATCCTTGTTCAGAGAAACTTTATGGTAGACTCAGTTCATGTTTGGATTTTTTAATGTTGATTTTGAAAGATTCTTACATGGAAAGGGGTGTTAAATTATTTGACTTGAAAATAGAATAGCATTTTTTAATCAAATTTAATTATGAATCCTACTGTCACTAATTTCAAAATATTTGTCTTTTTTACACAGCCACGAACAAAAACAATCATTCATCAAGAAATTGTTAATGCAGCTGGAAACATTGTTCTTATGGTTGGTGTGGTATTGAATGAGGGAGTGAATAATGCTGCACCAACTGAGCTGGAGTTCACTGTCAAAATTCCCAAAACAGGATTCTTTAATTTTGTCCTGCGTTACATGGTGAGATGTTCCTCCCTTGGGAAAGATATCATTATGAATGATTATTGTTTAGTAATTGGAAATAGTCTTAGCTTTCTGCTCATTTACTAAAACTCAGTAGTATGGAAGGGGTGTTTGTTTCATCTTGTGGATCTGAGAGGCTCAAATTAAAAGTTTTAAACAAATTTTTAATAGTATGCTGAAATTATCATGATTATTATTAGCATTTTCTATTTTGCAGACTGGTTATAACTGGAATTTGGTTAAGATAACTGCTTTGCTGCGGACAGCCTTTGTGCCCTTCACGTGCAACAACATTAATCAAATCACCAAGAATGAGCCTCTCATCCTGACTGGGACAGTGTTGTCTGGAAGTGAAGCTCATGATTATGGAAGTCACTGTTTATTAGCGGGTCAGTACAGTGTAAAACTTCAAATACCTGCTGGAAGTGCTCAACAAGGTGTTCTGGTCACTCGAAGGAAAAGAAGGGCATTGCCTGATGCAGACATCACTGTTGATTCTGTAAGTAATTATTCACTCTCTATAGCCTGTTGCTATGATTGTTACAAGAGAAATATTCACTATTAGCTTTGTTGGAAGCTGTAGTGGGCTGAACATCACTGTTTTCTTGGTATTTGAGTTTCATACTACAATGTACAGCATATGTAAATCAAAGAAAGCTACCTTGCTGTACATGTAAGTGCTGTGGGCTATCTGAAAAGCAACTTAGTTTCGCAAAATTGTGACAACTTTTACCTAGTCTCACTGGAACCCAGAGTTATTTTCTGTGGAGAGACATCATGACCTAGTTATTGGTGCTCTGGAAGCTTAATTGACACTGGATTGACACATTCAGGTGGGAACCTTGGTCAGGGTAACTGTGTGGTTTTCTTAGCCAGGGTAAATTTACTCAAGGAGGATAAATAGCCAGAATGAAGTACATTTATGTAGCATCCCATCAAAGAGGTTTTACAATAGGACAGTGTAGAGCAGCTACAAAACAAACAAAACAGTTCACATTTGCAAAGAGTTCAAGTCCTAACGAATTGACTTAGACAACAACATGGCCTCCATGGTGTCATGTGGAAACAATCTCTATCAGTAGGCAACCACAAGAACTTGTAGATAATTGTTGAAACATAAAATTGATGTCAGTAATAATTATTTTAATTTGTAACACAGGTTTTAGCCATGCCGACTGTGTCTGAGTATGATGTATTCAAGGAAGCATCTGCTGAAGTTCAAGAAAACATGACATTTTACTACAATGCATCATCATCCCTGAAAACCTGGTCAGCAAACTCTGAGGCAGGAAGTCGTGCACTTGCACCAGTGTTTGGAAGCACTTTTGGAGAGGGACAAGGTAACATTGATACTAACAAAGTTAAGAAAAATTGTAAAAATTAACATTAAGAACTGCTGTAAGAAACAAGGCGGTGATCGAAATAAAGGGAATATTGACTTTAGTAAACTCTAGAGAATAATTTACATGTAATACCAATGGACAAAGGGATAGATTGCATATCAAGGAAATTTTGGCTTATACTACTCCAGCTACACGCTTATTCAGCATATCACTGAGTATGTTTTTAACCCAGAAATCTCTCTTACTATGCTTTACCCACCTTAATGCAAAATTTACTTAAAAAAAAAAAACAGAAAACAAAAAAATTTAGACCATTCATGTGCAATCAATATTTATACTTAAACTTGTTAATATATTTTTATTCAGCATGTAACTGTAGCTCTGTGGGGTCAAATGACCCTGATGAATGTGACAGATATAGTGGACAATGTTCCTGCAAGCCTAATGTGATTGGTCGCACTTGTGATCAGTGCAGGCCAGACTATTTTAACTTCACCTCTGGTCAAGGTTGTCAAGGTAAAGAGGTTAAATATTGTGCATGTGTTTAGAATATACCCTAGATCAACACATACCTGCACCCTAAGAAAACTTTGAGCTGTCTTAGTTAACTGATTGTTACTTACAACAAAACATTTCTCAATAAAGAATATTTTTAACACCTTCATTATTAATAATATTCACTAACACTCGATCTTTACCTCTGTCTATTATTGAGTATGTAGTATGAAATTTTGATATTTGACCCACAAATGTTAGCAACTTGTTGCACTGTCAGGATTTTCTTGGATAGAAATGCCTGCATAATTGAAACAGACTATGAGGATAAGAGGTTCAAAAACCACATACTTTATTCCCACCTTTATGTCAATTTTGAATGAATGATTGTGTCTATGTCTTTCCATTTTTGAAAATAACAAATTATATGAGCATGGATTTTTAATTAAAAAATAATTCAAATAGTATGCGCGCTCTGATTGGCCATAAAACCATTTTACATGAGTGTATGTAAACACGGTTTTCGTTCCTCTTTCATTAGTTATTTTATAAAAGAAATGTAAAATGGTTTCCGTGTTTACATAGCCTGATGTAAACACTTTGGAGGTTGGGAGAACACTCGATGAGCTGGAAACCACTCCGCTTCATGTTGTGGTTTCCTACACTTATCTTGTGTTCTCCCAACCTCCTGCGTGTTTACATCAGGCTATGTAAACACGGAAACCATTTTACATTTCTTCAATATTACATAACTATTACTGTCAAAGCTGATATCTTTTTGTTGTATCATTATTTGTACAATATCTGTACACTGTAGCACTGTGGAAGTGCAATCAGTGTTTTTGCTCATCAGCTCTTCTTTTTTGGTTTATTTCATAGATTGCAACTGTAGCATGACTGGTGCAAATGAAACATCTTGCCATCCTGAAACAGGGCAATGTTCCTGCAGGGAGAATGTGATAGGCCAACATTGTGAGCGATGTGAAATAAACTATTATAACTTTAACAGTGGGGCAGGCTGCTCTTCCTGTGACTGCAATCCTATCTACTCCACCAGCCTGCAGTGTGATGGAAACACTGGTGTGTGCAGCTGTAAGCCTGGTATTAATGGAGCAAAATGTACAGGATGTGCTGATCAGTTTTACAATCTTACAGACCAAGGTAATGTTTATAATACATACAGGTAGTGGTTTCTATACTCTTTCCCTCTCTCTTTTAAGTGGGGCACAGAATATTGGAAAGTAAAACTTCTGTCTATTTTAAAGCAGTTATATATGAGACAATATTGTCAGTGATTTAATTTTTCTTAGTTTAAGATGTTGTTGTGGGTTACCAACTTTTCTAGCATTCTTTATAATGGTTTTGGATTAAATGTCCTTGTTTCTTGTAGGTTGTATGTCCTGTGATTGTAACCTTGCGGGAAGTGCCAGCCCTGTCTGTAACAAGACTACAGGCCAGTGTCCTTGTAAGGCTCAATCTCTAGGCTGTCAGTGTGACATGTGCCCAGCTGGTTATTATGGCTTAAGTGTCCAGAATCCTCAAGGTTGTTTGAAGTGTCAGTGTTCAAATAAATCATCAGAATGTGTTACTGACCCAGGATGGTTTGTTTCAACTCTTAACACCACTCTGTCGGTGTTTAATGACAATGTTGATCTGGATGGTTGGAGTACTATAGACAGTGCAGGAAAACAAGTCAATCCAGTTTTGGACTGGGATGTTACTGTAAACATTGAGAAGTGAGTGTTTACATTATGTTGTGTATTTTCATACATGTAGTGTGGTATACAAGTCATGTGATCCTCTGCTATTAACTTTGGTAGTGTGTGCACCAGTAAATTGTACTTTGAAATTATGGTGTAGTTGTCCTCTGAAGAGGAAGAGGAAGGAGAAGGGAAATTAAATTCAGGTGTTATCATTCTCTTTTCACCTTATGGGCTTAAATTCAAGTAAATTTTTTCTTTTCCTTGCCTTTGTATGACATTCACCTAGGCTATGTCACTTGATACAGTAAAATCTAAGTCATCAAGAAACTGAGCAAATTGAGAACCCCTTTATAAAATGTTAAGCAGATAATAACTTAAGGTAATTACTTTAGTGTGACATGTTCATATCTGGAAAACCAGGATAGTTTGCAGTTCTACATAAATGTTAGAGAGCGTGCTCAATTTATATACCATGTTGGTGTAGCACTGTTTGTTTGATTGTTTGTAGACCTTTACACTGACTAGATGAAAAGACCTTGACAAACTGGTTTATACTAAGCCTTACAATTGTCCTCTTTGTTTTCTTCAGGGGATCTATGAAAGTTGACACTCAAGGCTCAGATGATATCTACTTTGTTGCTCCTGACAAGTACCTTGGGGACAAGAGATCTGCTTATACATATGCGTTGTCATTCCATTTACAACAGGACAATGCATCCAGCCCTGCAACATCCTCTAGGGGAGATGTTATCCTTGAAGGCAAGTGGTTTGATGAACCTCTTGTCTCAAGTCTTGATGCTGCTCCACCAGGTGGAGACAATTTTAGGAAATATGAGGTAAGTTTCGACAATTGTGTTCAACCATAATAACTCACAGTAACAATGGTAATGAAAAGGATGATGATGATGGCAACAGAACAATTGTTGGTGTCATCATTATCATCAGCATCACAATTGTCCATATAATTGTCATTATTGTGGAATCGTTATTTTTGGATCAGAGTTTACCAGTGGAGATATTTTATGACCCAGGAGAGTTTGGACCAAGAGATCTGGGGTTCTCTTTCCCGGGGGTTAATGACAACCATCAAACTGTCATTTTGTGTATTTAGCAGCTGTTCTTACTTTACAGTACTCCACTGTTACATTTGATAAAAATAGTAGCGAGGGAGACTAACTGTCAGGGAAACGAAGAGAAAGGCTGTTTAAAACATAACCGTTGCACAACTTTTTGGGGGTAAACTCTTGTTCTGTTTTACTCTCTTCCTGCTCCTGACCACCTGCCACCTGAAAAAAAGTTTGGACATACTTTCGCCCCCGTTTGCCGCTTTTCATTGTGCTTACGTGTGGTGAGGCCATTTCTTTGGTTATTGAAATGGAAATTGTTATCACGGGATCAACTCAAAAATATAATTGGCTACTCTGATGTTACCTACTTTTAAATTAATTTGGAACTTCGGTGACACCAATAAAAAGCGAGTAATAAGTCAAGTTGGGTTTTGATCCTGGGTGTGAGAATATGGATGTTAATAACTTGACGTTTGTTATTTTTATCAGGTAAAGCTTGTTGAAAGCAATTGGAGAGTAGGAAACACCTCTGGGCGGCAACCTTCAAGTTATGAAATGATTGTTGTATTAAGTCATTTGACTTCGCTGCGTATCAGGGCCAAGTGGACAACTCTCACAACGAAACTGTTCACCCGATTGGCTGATATTGAACTGACTCTTAGTAGCAGGTGTGTAGCATATTACTTACCCTAGAGTTGAAATGCTATAATAGTTTTTAGGCGTAAGTAAATGATTGCTGTTCCACTGATCTTTTTGTACGTGGTTTAGAGAAGCAATAATGTCTAAATAATCTGGCATAAATATTCTGTCTGAATAGTGCGTAAAAGTTTTTTCTTTTAGCCTGGGTCTTAGGTGTACTGCTTTGCAGCATCGATTCGCATCCTAGTCTTTTTCAAAACCGTGTCGTGGTCTTGTCGCACAACAAGTGCGTTTTACGTGACAACGTCAAGCAACGGCTGTGATGTGGATTGGTACATCGGGGGCTTTAAATAATTTACCTTGATAAAACAGCTTCTAATGTAGATTGCTTTTATTTTTTAGGAGCAATATAATTCCTGGGGCGGAAAGTGCTCTGAACATTGAGAATTGTTCATGCCCCGTAGAGTACAAAGGACAGTTTTGTGAACAGTGCGCCAGTGGCTACACACGTGTCACGCCAAATGGAGGCCCTTACGTGACATGTGTACCGTGCGAGTGTAACGGACACTCAGACATGTGCGACCCTGAGACTGGAGTGTGTCTGGACTGTCAACACAACACCACAGGTATTAACCATGAAAATAAAAGAAGCGAACAATTTCTTCGAAGGGAGAAATGAGGTGATTATGATAGAAGGAGTGCGCAAATATTGTCGAGACGAGGGAGAAAAAAGTCCTTACACTTGGTTGTTTGTCGGAGGAATAAGAACTTTGAGATGCACATTCTAATGCCCTGGTACAACTTATGCATGACTACTTTTTATGAAGTTGTATGCTTATCTCTATTTAAAATGACCAAATTTTGGAAAGTTACTTCTTTTAATTTGTGTCCTGTGTTGTTTTTTTGTTACTGTTTATTAGGCGATCATTGTGAAAAATGTCTAGATGGTTGGTATGGCAACGCCACTAATGCCACGCCCAACGACTGCAGCCCGTGCCCATGCCCCAGCGGACCATTTGCCGTCAATCAGTTCGCTAAGACCTGTGTGCTTTCAAGTGACGGTCTACCAACCTGTGTGAACTGCACCGTGGGTCACGAGGGACGGTATTGTGAACGATGTATTGACGGTTACTTTGGACGGCCAAGGGTAAGTGTGAGGCTCAGTGATATGTTGAACCCCGATAAACGACATTCCTACGTTGTAAAATCAAAGACCAAATTAATCAAAATGACCCATCAGAATATAGGAAAACTGCGCTTGAAGCTTACGTGAATTTGAAGGAATCGCAATTAAACTGTTTGAAGCGCGTAGAAACATGAGTGACCAGCTTTGTAGCCGTTTGGTTTAAAATTACAGATCGAACGTGATTAAGCGAAGTCAATGCATAATAGTTCGGATATTCAATTAAAAAAAAATCACCTGTAACGGTTCATTATGTTGATAATTTTGATGCTAAAATGTACGAAATGGATTCTCCTTTGACCCTATGACCAATCAAAGCGAATATCCATCAAGCCATGTCAGTCCTCATCTATTTTTGATATTGATTTCACCACGTTTTGGTTGGTTTAAACGTGAAACTCAGCTTCATTTTAAACGTATGCCGTGTTCAAGCTGCCCTTTTCGTTATTCATACTTTGCATCATCTGTTTACCTTTCACTGTCTTTTCGGGAGAAATTAAACTGCCTTACTTTTACTCTTTCTATTCATTTATGTTTTATTTACTTACTCATTCATTTTAACAGGAACAGGATGGGCAATGTCGCAAGTGTAACTGTAACAACAACACAGATCCTGCAGCCACCGGTAACTGTAACACCACAACAGGCGAATGCCTCAAGTGTCTTTACAATACCACTGGGTCCAACTGTCAGTGGTGTGCACCAGAATACCATGGAAATGCATTGAACAAAAACTGTACACGTAAGTATGTCTTTTCTGTAGAGACGCTCTCCACATGTTGGCAAGGCGAGTTCTAACAAATAGTTAAGGGATAATTCAAGAGAAATTATTTAATTGAGATTTGCAACGGTAAACGGTGGAATTGGGTGAAAAAAAAAACTGTACTCTAAGTATCCTTTCCTTACCTATCGCCTGAGAAAGGATGGGGGATTTTGGGTGTGTGACGATGAAATTGACCTGATCCCCCCACGAGGCTCTGTAGTTATCGTATGATCCCCCCTATGGCCGTTAATTGGCGGTCAATTTTCTATAGTCACCCCCTTTAAATCTGTTGGCGACGACAGATCCCCCTCCGTTCCCCCCTGAAAACCTTGTGATCCCCGAAAATCTTCCACCACCCCCACCCCCACCCCCCCATCATAAGGGGGGGCGGGGAGGGGGGATGAATAAGGAATGGTCCTTTAGAAAGCCCCTCCCCGGCCCAGGACCCTGGCATATGAAAGGTATTTGGCTTGTCATAGGAAAACAATACGCTTGACTTAAACTAACCGAGTATTTTAATGTAGTGTAGCGGACTGAATGTAGAGGATCCAGGTTGAAAGGCGAAACAGAGCATGCGCAGATGCGAACTGCTCGAGAGGAAGCGACAGCCATTAAGAATAGAAAGCAAACACCACTCCACCAGCTTTTAGCACAGAAAAAAAAAACACTCCTGGGCGAGTCTTTTTTGGGATTTGACACTCCTTTGATTGAAGAAGAAGGTCGTGCGGGACTTTTGAAACCAACCCAACCCTAACCCAGTAAACAAGGCAATGGGTCATTTTTGTGAACTCTCTAAAATCTCTCTTTTGATCCAACTTTCAGCCTGCAATTGTTCGAATGTTGGTGCAGTGGATAACAAATGTAACAATTTGACTGGTTCGTGTTACTGTCATCCTTATGTGACCGGCAAGTTGTGTGACAGATGTGAACAAAACGCTTTTAATTATACCTCGTCTGGCTGTTCGCCTTGTAACTGTGACATTGACGGCTCAAATGAAACTCAGTGTGACTTGGTAAGCTACCGGTAATTTCTCTTTTAAAATTAAATCATCATTATTGACCTTTTCAAGATCCACTGTGCCTCTTGCCGCTTGGAAAAGTTCTACGTTAGCGTACTAAGTTTGTGTTGGCTTTTGTAATCTTCTTTATCCTTCGGTTTTCTTTTTTTGTTTCGTTTCTTACCTTTCATGTTTTTTGTTTTGTTTCTTACCTTTCATGTTAATCATTTGGGAAATTATTTTACATTTGTATCTTTACCCTTTCCCCATCTAGGAAAACTGTTTTTTTCTTTCGGTCTTAGTTAATTATAGCGTGCGAAGCTAAGTATTTTTTGTGTGTGTCTTGGAGCGTTGAAGAGAGGCCCGAGACGGAAAAATGGGAATGATTTCTCCACTAATACCTCCGCTGACCGTTTTTACGGCCGCGCTGCCTTTACTCTCCTTGAACCCTTAAAACTGCCAGATTCAAAGGCTGTACTACACATTTAATGTTCGTCAGTCGCAAGCACTGTGAAGTACTTCCTTTCTTTGTAAGTTTTTTAACCTCAGTGATGGGTTTCGTGTTGCTGAATCAAATGATAAAACTTCCTAGCTCAACTGCTCATTAAAGCGAGTGAGTTTACAGTTTCTCAAAGGTCATTACCTGAAGGTGCCGAAGAAGTAGTAGGAGTCGAAGTTTCCATTTGAGGGGAAATTTGTTTGCTAGTTGTTAATGCGTTTCTACTTTGTATTATTTCCCATTTAGACGTACGGAAACTGCACTTGTAAACCAAACGTGATAGGTAAAAAGTGTGACATGTGCAATGCAAGCTTCTTTGATGTAAAGCAGAGTTGTCTAGGTACGAGTATAACATCGATTGACAATTTTTAAAAATGAATATAGTGTCAGCTTGGTAAACTACAGTTTAGACTGTTTTGTCGCCGTTCTGTATCAGTTTCCTTCATTTTTGGCTCGCATGTTATCTTTTTCAGCATGTAACTGTACAGCAAACCAAACTCTTGCCAATACTACTTGTGATCCGGTCAGCGGTCAGTGTAAGTGTGATGTTAGTGAAGCAGGAGGTCGTTATGGGGGCAGACAGTGCGATACATGCGCGAGGAGAACTGTGGGTAAGTGCGTTACCAAGAATGATACAGTAAACTGAGAACGAACGATTCATATTTTAAGATTTTGACGACTTGATGTAGGTTTTGTTCCTCAACTGAATAATTTATGCGACAACAATCTTTAGACCTTCCGGTTGGAGTCTTTGTGGTCTGTTCGATCTAATTCCGGAAGACTCAGTCCGATTTCAGGCGATTCCGTTTGGCCGTGGACTGTCACGTCCGCTATCGGACGGTTCTGTAGGCCTCGGACATTTCCGTACGATATCGGTCGGTTCCCCATGATTTCGAACATCGTAGTCCGATCACGGACGGTTCCGTTAGTTATCGGACCTCATCTACGATCCAAGTCTTTTTGGATCATTACTTTTTTGAAGTACTCCCAAAACATCAGCAGGTCTAATTGACTTAGAAATTGAGGTTGTATATAAGACAAAGTTTGAAGGAATTTTTTTTTTGCGTATTCGAATTAAGTCGGACCTCATTTTCCAGAAGTAACTGTTCATTTGTTCCCCTTACCGTCTGTTATTCATTTCTTCATGATCCTGCGCGTCTAGAGTTTTTGACTTAACACTTGTCTCCTGTCTGCTCTATACTGTTTTGATATTGTTATGAGAAATTATTTAATATTAGTTACTTTAGGGAGGGAAAGGGTAATGATATCTGTCTGCTGTATAATTGGGGCTTAGAGCTGAAAACGTTGGTTTGGTTTCTCTTTTCCAGGGAGCCCTCCCAAGTGTTATCCGTGCACCGAAGACTGCTACTTGAACTGGGAAAACACTATATCCAGAGAAACTGACAGAGTCAACGAGCTTTACAGTAACGTTACTGAACTGCTTGAGTCGTTTGGGAGCATGTCAGTGGATAGCATCAACAGCACACTTCAGAAGTTGAAAAAGAACGTGACTTATGCGGAAGAGATATTCAGCAGCGGTGGAAAAGAGGATCTGCAAAAGAAGCAGCAGCAAATTAACAGGGTAAGGAAGGGGAAAGTGGCTTCATGTTTTGTAACTTTTACTGAGGATTGTTTTAGATTCCAAGTCTTGTTTGTCGCTTTCGAATCAGTTGCAAATCTGTTTTTCAAAATAATACGATTTTAGAGGTGTTTGTGGTCAAGACCATTTGACGGCAATTAAATGATGAAAGAGTCTCGCTTCTTTTTTCTATACCTGTAGATCAGCTTTGCCATAATTTCTTTCAATTTTATTTGTTAAAGAAGCACAACTCAAAGACTGGCGACTCATATATAACGCGAAGAGTGTGCGATAAGTCTATCAGCTTAATTACCAAGGGATTCCTTGAGGACGTATTACATTTAAACTGGCAACTTTCACTCAGAAGCTGCAGCGCATTTGAAGAACATTTTTTGTCTTTTTTGTAGATTCAAAACTCTATAAGCTCTCTCCAGCGTCAGCTGAACGAATCTAAGAGTTTGATTGAAGACGCTCAGACCTACATTTCAAAGGTGATTAACTTTAACGGAAGTGTCCCAATAATTCCCGCCGATCCAATGATGTACTCCTCATCCCCTGAAGTCTGCCTCAGTGGGGGAGGTGCGATTGTGATCGTGGACTGGAAGTGTATTGAAGCCATGGCAACGATCTACCGCCTGCGTGCGATGGAAGCTAATGAATCAGGACATGCAAACTACTCGAGTATTCAAAGTAGTTACAGTATGGTAAGTTACATGTGAATCAAGACAAGATGTACATTCTTGCGATTTAGTAATCTCGCTTTGGTCACTACCCAGGGTCGCAGAGTTGTTTGTTTGGAAAAGCCGGTTCCTCACCCCTCCCTAATTTTTGAATGGTGCTTCTGAATTTTGAATTGACCCTGACTAATTGTTTGAAGTGAATTAGGGGTTGAGTTAACTTACGGTATCCAGGGAGGGGTAGCGTTGTTCGTAATCACTCCTTGCTAAGGAAATCAGAATATTCTCTCGCTCTGCGTGCCGGTTGGACCCTGTGAAACGTTTGCCCTTCCGATGCACCTTTGAACTTTCTCAAGTTAACGTACTCCTATTTCGAAGACGAACATTATGTAGAAATTGGAGTCAAAATAAAAATCGTTTAATTTTGGAGTGGCACTCTTAAAGGTAATTGGAACGTGACTCTTACTCTGTGATTCATATGTTTTGAACGATTTGATACCCGATCAGTGGCTCAATGAAATTTGTTTTCCTCTTGACATGCAGATTCAGCAGGCGAACTCTACAGCTTACCATGCAGCTATGCAGATCAGTGATTCTCTAGAAAAACTAAAGCTCGTTAAATTTGTCAGAGAAAAAGTAGAATCGGACCTTGGTGATACCTTTCAGACCTTATACCGTAATAACTCTATGCGACTTGAAGAAATCAGCAAAATCAACGAGATTTTGCAGGCACTGGTGAAAGAAGCGGAAATTATTGGAGAACAAGCAAACGGCAATTTGACCATGGCTGTGGAAAACGCAAATCGATCAAAGGATCTAGCCGGTCAGCGGAAGAGAGAAGCTCAGAGCGCGCTGGACAATGCCACCAATGCACACTCAGATACTTTGCAGGCCAGTGGTGATGCAAACAACGCGTTAAAGACAGCCATGGGGTTTAAAGTGAGTAAGAGCTTTGAGAGTAGTTGTTCTTTTGGTGCGAGTTCTTTATGTGAATGATATCTTGTGCAGAGTAAATATTGGGCGTGGCTTTCACGGTGTTTCTCTCTCTACTTGTCATGGACTAGAGTATTCTGAAAAGCTTCACGTAGTCAGTTTTCTGGTTAGCGAGGGAAGCGTGGGTTGTTTTGACGAATGCGTTTAGAAGGGAGGTCCAGTAAGGCACAAAAACATTATCTGGAAAAATACACACTAAGCATGTTTCTTGTCCTCATGATATCAACGCTGGCGTAATCTGGGAAAAATTTGATTAGAATAGAGGAACTGGTCAAAAGTTTCCCCCCCTCTTTTTTTTCCAATTTTAAAACTGCATTTTGACAGTGCGCTCTTCCATCAATCATGAGCCAAAAAGTTAACTTTGCTCACATCTAACGTTACAGGAAAACGCTACAATGGTACTCCAACAAACACAAGATGCCATCAATAACGTATCTGCAGGAATCAACACCATAGCCAGGGTTAATAACATGACAAAGGAAGCGACGAACATTGCAAATGAGGTCCGTGCCATGAACATGCCTGTGAGTCTGCAACAGATCCAAAACCTTACTGATGAGATTCTGAACACAAATGTTAGCCAAGCAATGGTGAACCAGACTCTAAAAGCTGCACAAAATGGCCTGGAACAGGCACGAGAAGTGGAAGCCCTCTCGCAGAGAGCCATGTAAGTTTAAGCCCAGGATTACATGTCCAAGTGCGAAGCGGCCTGGCTTCTTGACCATGTAGATACTCGGTCTCCTGAGCGCCTATTAAAATTCCTTGCGTGACATCCCGAAAAATGGCTTCAAACGAAACTAAATGGCAGTCAAATACTATATTTTGCCACAATTTTCAGATTCACTCGTCGATTGCACTGTTTTTTATCTTTTATTATTGTCGCTTATGTGTGTTCCTTTTCCTTTCTTCCGCAAAGTAATGTTGCACAGGAGACTCTAAATCAAGTGCAAGGGATTGAAAAAGCTATGAACTCATCAGAGCACATTCGACAGCAGGTCATGTCTCTGCAGCAAGAAACTGATGGAATGGTTGCTGACATCAATAATATCACACAAACGGTACGAAAAAAGAACCGCAATAGTGCGCGACGCTATTGTCATCTTCTGGGTAATTTTGGCGCGTAAATGCCGCTTTGTATGAGTTCGAAAACTGGGACGAGTAGACTTTTCCTTTCCAGCGGATTATTTAACAAATGCTGAAACGTAAACGTCTCTTTGTGTCCTCAGTTTTCGCATCACGAATTGTCTTTTTTTGCGACGGGAAAATTGTCTTTTACGTGTGGTGGTGTTTCAAACTGTTATTTACAAACTGATCTACTTATTTCCTGACTTTCATTTAACGAAATTTCCTGTTCATATCGATATGAATTTTCAGTTATGAATAAAAAGTGTTCCTGTTTTGTAATTGCTAAATATTGTCTAAAGAAACGGGCTAATTATTGCCTGAGGGAAGCAGAAGCGGAATTTTATTCCTGCATTTTCATTTTGTTATTTCTCGGCGAGTCAAGTATATAGAGTCCAGGTGGCGGTTGGCGCTTGTCACCATGCCGACCGACAAAGATGCCTTCTATTTCACCAGAGACTGATTAGCGTATGGCTTTTGTTCGTTGTTGCTTGGCCGAGGCTGCTGTTCACCGTACATTGCATAATAAAGCGCGCGGTTAGTGTCAATAAGGGGATGAATTCTGAGTTTAAAACGGTGGTGATTCTTTCCGTTCTTGTCAGGTTGAACATCGTTTCTCGGCGTCGTACTCCTCAGGAGAGAGTTTACTAACGAAGATAAACAAAACCCTGGACGATATAGAAAAAGGATTGAACTGCTTTGATACTGCGAAGACCGACGCACAGAATGCGTCGCACACAGCTGAAATGGCCTTTAATATCTCTAAGCAAGCGAAAGAGGTAAGTATCTTACGAGTTCTAAGTTTCTTATACTAGACTGTCACCATCTTTGGTCTGTAAGCAGTTCGTTAATCATTTTTGTCACTGATCCACTGACTGGGGCGATTCGAATCCATTCGGTCCAAATTACTGGATACGTGTACTCGCTCGGTAGGAAATGTAAGGAAAGTGGCAAATTTGAATGAGAAGAGTAGCCCTTGAAATTGATGAATGCATGGATTGATTGATTTTAATAATGATTTTTGAACTATTCTAAATGTTTTCGTGAAGAATGACACAAGATGGAAGGGCAAGTAAGAGAAAACACGGCGCCCAAGGTATAAGATGCGAGTAGGTCATGGGGCCATTTGTTAATATGTGGCATTGACCGTTTGCTATCGTAAATAAAAGAAAAGAAGAAGCTACGTCTTGCGTAGCTGGCGGTTTAGCGTGCGCTTAAGCTACAAGGAGCGAAACCGCGATAGGCTTGGTATCGAAGGTATGTTCCATTCGCGGCTTGACGCATATCACTTGGCGCGTATATCGCGCACAAAACCGTCAGCTGCGCAGGGTGTTAAGAAGCTTTTTTGATCAGTCGAGTGGGTCCAGACATGAGTTGAAGATGAGCGCGTCGCTTCAAATCACCGAGCGTAGCATACTCAAACTTGGTCTTAAGAAGTTCTCTCGCAGTTTTGTACTGGATCGAAGAAGATCGCGTAGGGCTCATGCTGGAGCTTGAGCTTGAAAAGATAAACTAGAACGGTTATTGGCTATGTGTTAATCAGGACAGAAATTGAGATGCTACAAGCCTTTGAAGACTTTCAATTAAATTCTCGTGAACGGCCTCAAGAGGGAAAGAACGCGGGTAATTAGGGAAGCGATTCGTTTTCGTTTAGCATCTGGGTGGTTGAGAAATTGGCGCATGTTTGGTGAACCAGTCATCGAACGTAGAAAAGCATAACCGATTCAGTTTCAGATAACTTTTGGATTACTTGAGAATCGAAATTGAAAAGTGCCTGAAGTAGTTGTAGAGCAACCTGCATCAAGCACAGCCTTACTACCGGACTGCGCGGGGCTTTTTGACCCAGGTTCGGAGTGAGATGTCCAGTTGCAACGCGGGCTTTTCACACTATGCTCGGCAGTTATAGTTTATAGTTATAGCTTCCCTTTAAGGTTTCTATTTAGTCGTTGTCTGCACTGTTCATTATGATTTGAGTTTATTTGTCCACTCTTTGGTAGACCTTCGACAACAGCACGGCATCTTTGCCACCTGTCGCGTCCTTGGTGAACTCATCCTATGAAGCGGCAAGCGGAAACCTCTCAGAAGTACAACAAGCTCATCAGGATTCGGAACAACTACTTACGGACGTGACAGAGGCTGAAGGTATGTATATTAGAAGATACTTCCAGTTGTGTGGCGTATTTAATTGTTGCTACAACTTGGCTTTTCAGTGCGCATTGAACCGATGATAAAAAGTGAAATGTGGGAGATAAATAACCGTCTGAGTTCTGTGTGATGATTCGTCGTTTCCCCCTCCAGTTCTTATCTCGCGGTTGAATCTTTACCAACTGAGTATAAAAGAACTCGTCGGTGATCTGTGCCATGTATTTGGTTCTTATATGTCAAGCATTTTACATACTATTGGCATCACGGACGCTTGAAGTGTTCAGTGAGGAGATAGAGTTAGGGAGACTTTTCTTGTTGTTCGGTCGTCAAAAATGTTTTGGGTTGTGTGCGACTAGAACAGAACAATCCGTTTGATTCTTGAGGGTTTTTCAATATCCCACACAGTTATTTAAATTTTGGACACAGTCTTTTTTGCGTCTGTAGCACAATACATATATTATTCTTTCAGAATTGCTGACCCAGTACATCGCACAGAGAGACGAACTCGAAAGACTGGGTCGAGAACTCCAAGAACTTGATAGAGAGGCAGATGAATTACTAGGACAGTTTAGTGTGGCTGCTGAGCAGTATTCACAGTGTGCGGGCGCATAACGAACTCTAGTCTGGACAACAGACGTCAGTCTTAATTTTCGTTTATATCTGTATAACGATATTACTTACAAAGACAGTCAACAGGTTTTTCTAAGAGCAAGTATAGTGTTTCTTTCTTGCTGTACGGTTAGGTCGTGCCATTTTCAGCGGTTTTACTGCATTGTAAATGATATTTAGTGTAAGTAAAATCCGGCGGCGAAATTGAGAGCCACTTGAAAATCTGTCGTGGCTGGCAGATTCTGATATTTTAAAGGAGTTACGCCACGAAATTTTTTAGACACTTTTTATGGGAGGAGAGGGATCGTCATAAATGTTTGTCAAGGAAAAGAAACCAGTAGATTATGGTTCGAGGAAGCGTAACATCAACCAGATAAATTGAAACCAAAAATACGAAAAGAGGATGATTATGGATGCAGACGATTTTATGTAAATGGTGGATAACAGCCCTGATATAATTGTTTTGAATTTTATCGCACGATAAGTCAACTGAAGGCGTTACGGTAATTGATACAAGTTTTGAGCTCAACAAATGCTTGAAACATGGATATTTGGACATAGACATTTAAACTTTTAATTTGCATGTTAACAAGTCTTCTAGGACTCCAGCAAATGTTAGCTTATGATTAGTAATGATTTAAACTCTAAGTATTGCTAAATTGATATTTTTAATGGTTAAGAGTGTATAGAAGAAGTTGGAAATACTCTGGGTTTTAAAATGATTATCTACTCTTAATTTTGCTGATCGGTCAGAAGCAAACTTCTTTTAAAGCTGTTTTATGGTAGGAACAACGACATGCGTGGGCTTCTTGTTATTCAAGACCTTAAAACTCCATTAAAGCAAAAATTACTCGTATGGAAATGCTTGAAGAGTGCCTCCTTAGGATGCCGAGTCTATGAAGAGTTTAACGTTGCAATTCTTTTCTCTATTTTTACTTGAGACAAACTTGCGCGTTTTTAGGTGCTCTGCTACGCGTGATCCAAAGAGGACAAGTGTACTATTCACCGGAATTCACTCAGCAGCTCAAATGGAGAGATTTTGTTGTTGCCATAAGCTAGCATTATGTTGACGCCTTTTGTTTTTCCGTGGACCATAATTAAAGATATACGTGTCTTTCAGAAAAACTTTAAAGCAACAGTTGCCTCAAACTATGAGCAACAGTCTCACTTAGAGCGCTGTGGCTAAAAGTGCAAAGATGTTTCGACCAGAAAAAGTGAACAGAAATTCTGTGTAACCCACGCAAAGTCGTTCCTATCGCTTTCCCAAACACTAACAACGACTCGTGAAGAGAGAGAAGTATCGAGCGTTTCATTTTTGATTTTGTAATTGATTAATTTTCAAAGGAATAAGTCTTTTCTTTAAATAAATGTCATTGGAACGTTTTCGGTCTAATCATTAGAGCTAGTTAGGTAGTATATGTATATCGGATAAGAGTGTGTTGTACAGTATTTATTTATAAGATGAATGATGGCATTTTTACATTCAATTGAAGTGAAAATAAAAGTTTTTTATTGATACCTATGAAAACCTATGAACGTGAAAGACTTCAAAGGGCTCAACCAGCGTCGTTCCTGCTATACCTCTGGGTTAGATAGAAAAGGAAGATGGAACGCCACTAAAGACAGAGAAAGCTGGGTCTGAGAAGTGTGGGGAATATTAATGTCACCTGCCCTTCTCGCTAACCTCGATATTGCCCAACTTGCCTGCTGAACGCTGATAATTCCGCTTATTTTGCAGGTTTCCCACTGAATAGTGCAGTTACAAAAAAGAAAGCTGGTTTATAAAACTTTGTTTGTTAGTTGCGTTGCGTAGGATTCGTTACTCATATGATAACTGGCAGCATTATTTTGAATGTTAACAGGTCTTACAGAACCTCAGATCACTGACGGAGCAGAGTTCTTAACAAAATTACATTAATCCACAAAGCTGAACAGTAACCCGAAGGAACGTGAGGAAAACCAGCAGTCTATTTGTTGACAAAAAATATAAATTTACAGCTTTACACCGACAATAATTTCACCAACGATACGCATAACTAAAACCTTGACAAAATATGAAGCATCATAATATTTTTATTACAATTATTTGCGAAGTTCATAAAACCAACTTTTGTCCACCATATGTAAAAAATATTTGTTAATTTTCATGTTGGATATGCAGTAATTATTCTTTGATCCACCTTGTGAAAAATGACAGTCACCCAGAAGCACATTTCCCCATTATTTCCAAGATTTCCAACTTGAGACGAAAACTGTTTCTGTAGAACCACCTTAGAGCGGTGAGGCTTGAAGCGGTGAGGCTTCAAGACGTCAGGGTGTAAAAACGTATCTTTTAACCAGATTCCACACGACGCTTTCGTCGGTAGAAAGAAAAAGGCTTTTCCCCTGTATTCCTGGGTGCATGTGCGCGTCTCTGATTTTTTCTTTTACGCTATCGGTGAGGGTGACACCATTCACCCATCTCCTTGAAGAAACTGACATGTTGCTCTCACAGTCCCTTCCAGTTTGAGCGTATTTCCACTCAATTTTTGTAAACTTGTTCGTCTACCACTTCGAAATAACCGGACGTAATTTTTAACTCTCCGGAAAGCAATCTAGGAGCTGTCATACACGTTGTTCAGGGAAATTTTACATGGGTTTTTAGAGGTCATCATAAAAAATATCTCTGTGGAAACATCGCCACAGGAAACACCGCACTGCAGAAAGACACGAGCCAATCAGAGGGGACGAAGTGAGGAAAAAACGTATTCTAATGTGCCCTCGCGTGACGTCCAACAATTTTCAAAACGAGGCGCAACAGCGTTACGGCACCGAGTCCACCTTACAGTGGTGAATTCTACCAATTGTTGGTGGCTACTGAAACAAAAAATATGCGTTTTTGGCCAAAGAATTCAAGACTGTGCTGTCTCGCTATGCCGATTCGCTGGAAAATCGGACTAAGAAGAGATCATAAAAAATATCTGTGTGGAAATATCGCCACAGGAAACACCACATTGCAGAAAGACACGAGCCAATCAGAGGGGACGAAGTGAGGAAAAAACGTATTCTAATGTGCCCTCGCGTGACGTCCAATAATTTTCAAAACGAGGCGCAACAGCGTTACGGCACCGAGTCCACCGTACAGTGGTGAATTCTACCAATTGGTGGCTACTGAAACAAAAAATATGCGTTTTTGGCCAAAGAATTCAAGACTGTGCTGTCTCGCTATGCCGATTCGCTGGAAAATCGGACTAAGAAGAGATACATAGAGAAGATATCTGTTATTGGCATCGATCCTTCGGTCATTCCGCAGCAGAAATACATTTCAGAATGTCTTCCTCCTGTTGAAGCTTGTGATCTCCTATCGTACCTCGTGCTGGAGACCAGTTTCTACATGAAGGATTTGTTTAAAAATTTCTGAAGTCTTCTGGCGTATAGTCATATGGTGTCCGGGCCTATCACAGGTGTTTCGAGAAAAATACGTTGTTCTTGCCAAAGTGAGGCACTCTCAAAGGATGAATGACCCTCGTATGCAGCTATGGGTCATCACAACAAAACAAGGCAGTGTTGTTTTAGGTCATTGTGTGGGATGTATGGCTGGGCTGGGAGAATGCCGTTCTCATATTGCGAGTGTTCTTTTTACCTCGAAATCTGGACGAGAATGAATGAAAAACTTGCATGCATACAGGTAAAATGTACATGGCTTTTGCAAGGGTTAACCCTTTAACTCCCACAAGTGATTAGCATGTAACTTCTCCCTATAAGATCCATACATTAACCTGCACACAGGTAATGAGAATACTTAAACTAATCAAGTGGAAGTTGTTATTATGGTCCAACACTAAATTCTCAAATCTAATTGAGAAGATGTGTTGCAGCAAGAGGGGAGAATTAACAGTCAGATTATGGGACTTAAAAGGTTAAGGATATTATTTTTCCTCTGCCAAGAAACTTGAAAGTTACCTTGACATGTCAATTTATATGATAAATTCCTCAAGCATTACATCCAGTCCTGCAGCTCAACATCATGAACCTAGTCCTTCAGAAAGAAAGTGAAAAGTAGAGCCATCTTCTGCAGATGAAATGAAGGAATTTTACAAATCTTTGAGTGAGTGCAGCATTAAACCAGTCTGTCCTAGTTTAATCCACCTGTATTCTAATTTATTCATTTTTAGCACCAGGAATATTAAAGCAGTCCCCAATTTCTATTATAAAAAGTATCTTGAGTTGTCTTACCCTGATCTTCTCAAGGAGTGCTACAAAGTTGATTTGAAATTATTGGATGAGCAATTGAAGGCAATTGAAAGGGACACTGCCAATCAAGCTAAACAAAGCCCCTTTTTTCAACACAGAGCTTGGAGGAAAGGTGCTTCAAAATGCAGTGCAGCAAGCCACACAGATCTATCAGGGCCATCACAATCTCTAATCAAAGCCATATGTTATCCAAGTATGTTTCACTTCACAATAGCAGCCGCTGAACATGGTTATAAACATGAGGCACAAGCTATTGCAGCGTACAAGAAAACCATGAAAGAGATTCAGGTAAACTTTGTTGTCATAAAATGTGGCACAAGTATTTATAAGAAGTATCCATTTTTTGCAGGCAACTTTAGATTTTTTATGTGAATGCAACTTTTGTGGACTGGGCTGTGGATAGGTGAAGTGCCCCTTCTGCATCGAGGGGCTTGACTTTGATAGTTATGTACAAATGAAATCCTCTTGTTTAGAGAAAATAAATCAAAATTTACCGTAAAAAGAGACCATGACTATTACTATCAAGCCCAACAACAAATTCACACAACATCACAGTCTCTTTCAAAACCATTTCTTGGTCTTGTCACACAACAAGAGTGTTTTAGGCAACAACATCAAGCGATGGCTGCAATGGAGATTGGTACATTAGGGGGCTTTAAATAATTTAGCTTGATAAAACTGATTAATGAAGATTTATTTAATTTTTTAGGAGCAATGTACATTGAGAATTGTACATGCCCCGTGGCTACACACGTGTCACGCCAAATGGATAACGTTACGTGACATGTGAACTGTGCTAGTGAAACGGACTCTCAGACAAGTGTGACCCTGAGACTGGAGTGTATCTGGACTGTCAACACAGCCACACAGGTATTAGCCATGAAGATAATAGAGACGAAAAATTTCTTCGAAGGAAGAGGAATGCGCAAATATTTTCGAGACTAGGGAGAAAAAAGTCCTTAAACTTGATTATGTGTTGGAGAAAAAAGAACTTTGAGAGACACAATGTAAGACTCAAGAGATTGGATTCCAATGCCCTACAACAACTTATGCACGACCTCTTTTTATGAATTCATGTGCTTATCTTGATTTACAATGACCAAATATTGCATAGTTAGTTACTTCTTTTAATTTTTGTTCTGTGCAAATTTTTATTATTGTTTATCAGGCGACCATTGTGAAGAGTGTCAAGATGGTTGGTATGGAAATACCATTAATGCCACTAATGCCATACCTAACGACAGCAGCCCGTGCCCATGCCCCAGCGGACAATTTGCCTTCAATCAATTCGCTAAAACTTGTGTGCTTTCCAGTGACGGTCTATCTGTGTGAACTGCACCGTGGGCCACGAGGGACGGTATTGTGAACGATGTATGGACGGTTACTTTGGACGGCCAAGGGTAAGTGTGAGGCTCAGTGAGGTGTGGAACCTCGATAAACGACAATCCTACATTGTAAAATCAAAGACCAAAATAATCAAAATGACTCATCAAAATATAGGAGAACTACGCTTGAAGCCAACGGGAATTCGAAGAAATCACATTCAAACTGTTTAAAGCGCGTAGAAATATGAGTGACCAGCTTTGCAGCCATTTTGGTTTAAAATTACGGATCGAACGTGATTAAGCGTAGCCAATGCAAATCTCGTAATGGTTCGGACACTCAATAAAAAAATCACCCGTAACAGTTGATAATTTTGATGCTAAAATGTACGAAATGGATCCTCCTATGACCGATAAAGTGAATGTCTTTGAAGCCATTTCAGTCCCCATCCATTCTTCATATTGATTTACCACGTTTTGGTTGGTTTAAATGTGAAACTTAGCTTCATTTTAAACGTGTGCCGTGTTCTATTTGCCCTTTTCGTTATTCATACTTTTGCATCATCTGTTTACCTTTCATTGTGTTTTTTGGAGAAATTAAACCGCCTTACTTTTACTCTTTCTATTCATTTATGTTTTATTTATTTATTTACTCATTAATTTTAACAGGAACAGGAACAGGATGGGCGAAATGCATTGAACAAAAAATTGTACACTTAAGTATGTCTTTTCTGTAGAGACGCTCTCCAAATGTTGGCAAGGCGAGTTGTAACAAATAGTTAAGGGATAATTTACGAGAAATTAATTAAGCGAGATTGCAACGTTAAACGGTGGAATTGAGCTAAAAAACCTGAAGCATAAGTATCCTTTCGTTGTCTATCGCCTGAGAAAGGTTGGGGGAATTTTGAGTGTGTCACGATGAAATTGACCTGATCCCCCCACGAGGTTCTGTAGTATTTGTATGGTCCCCCCTATGGCAGTTGATTGGCGGTCAATTTTCTATAGTCACCCCTTTAACTCTGTTGGCGACGACTGATCCCCCTTTGTCCCCCCTGAAAACTATGTGATCCACGAGGATCTGCTAAAGAAGCAGCAGCAAATTAACAGGGTAAGGAAGGGGGAAGTGGCTTCATGTTTTGTAACCTTTACATGTAAGTGCGAGACGGTACATGTCCAAGTGCGAGGCGGCCCGGCTTCCTGAATATGTAGATACTCCTGAGCGCCTATTAAAATTCTTTGTGGGACATCCCGAAAATGGATTCAAATGAAACTAAATGGCAGTCAAATACTATATTTTGCCACACTTTTCAGATTCGCCCGTCGATTGCGCTGTTTTTTTAAAATTATTGTCACTGATGTGAGTTCTTTTTTCTTTGTTTCGTAACTGCTGAATATTGTCGAAACGAAGAGGGCTAATTGTTGCCTGAGGGATGCAGAAGCAGATTTTTGTTCCTTTCATTTTCATTTAATCATTTGTTATTTCTCAGCGAGTCAAGCATGAAAAGTCTAGGGGGCGGTTGGCGCTTGTCACCATGCTGGCCGACAAAGCGGCCTTTCATTTCACCAGAGACTGATTAGTGTATATGACTTTGGTTCGTCGTTTTTTGGCCGACGCTGCTATTTACTGTACATTGCATAATTAAGTATACGGTTAGTGTTCATAATGTGATACATTCTGAGTTTAAAACGGTGGTGACTCTTTTTGTTCTTGTCAGGTTGAGCATCGTTTCTCGGCGTCATACTCCTCAGGACAGAGTTTGCTGACGAAGATAAACAAAAACCTGGTCGATATGGAAGAAGGATTTAAGTGCTTTGATACTGCGAAGACTTCGGTCTTCGGTCACAGAATGCGTCGCGCACAGCTGAACTGGTATTTGATATCTCTGAGCAAGCGAAAGAGGTACGGACGAGTTCTAAGTTTTTTTTATACTAAATTGTCACCACCTTTGGTCTGTAAGCTGTTCCTTAAACACTTTCGTCACTGATCCACTGACTGGGGCGATTCGAATCCATTCGGTCCAAATTACTGGATACGTGAACAGAGCAGAAAGCTTACGTACTCTGGGCCAAGTTTTTGTCAGTCGCTTGTTAGGAAATGTAAGGAAAGTGGCAAATTTGAATGTGAAGAGTAGCCCTTGAAATTGATGAATGCATGGATTGATTGATTTTAATAATGATTTTGAACAATTCTAAATGTTTTCGTGAAGAATGACACTAGATGGAAGGGCTAGTAAGAGAAAACGCGGCGCCCAAGGTATAAGATGCACGTAGGTTATGGGGCCATTTGTTAATATGGGGCATTGATCGTTCGCTATCGTAAATAAAAGAAAAGAAGAAGCTACTTCTTGCGTAGCTGTTGGTTTAGCGTGCGCTTAAGCTACAAGGAGCGAAACCGCGATAGGCTTGGTATCGAAGGTATGTTCCATTCGCGGCTTGACGCACATCACTTGGCGCGTATAATGCGCACGAAACCGTCAGCTGCGCAGGGTGTTAAGAAGCTTTTTTTATCAGTCGAGTGGGTCCAGAGACATGAGTTGAAGATGAGCGCGTCGCTTCAAATCACCAAGCGCAGCATACTCAGACTTGGCCTTAGGAAATTCTCTCGCAGTTTTGTACTGGTACACATTTGGGATCGAAGAAGTTCGAGTAAGGCTCATGCTAGAGCTTGAGCTTGAAAAGATAAACTAGAACGACTATCGGCTGTGTGTTAATCAGGATAGAAATTGAGATGCTACAAGCCCATGTAGACTTTTAATTAAATTCTCGTGAACGGCCTCAAGAGGGGAAGAACGCGGGTAATCAGGGAAGCGATTCGTTTTCGTTCAGCATCTGGGTGGTTGAGAAATTGGCGCATGTTGTTGAAGTCCTAAATGTAATAACTGTCCTAAATGTAATAAAGTCCTAAATGTAATAAAGTCCTAAATGTAATAACATTTGGTCCTAAATGTAATAAAGTCCTAAATGTAATAAGCCTCCAATGCAATCGTTTAACTGTGCTAACATTGAGATGTTAAAGTGACAGCTGTTGCACCAAAGAATCCTCTGACCTGTATTCATGGCATATTGCGGGCTCGCTGATATTAATCAGGGTCTTTTTATTTGCTAAAGACGTAGGTTGAGAAGCATTGGCTACAAAACCTTATACTGATGTGCTTTTGGCATCAAATTGACGGACGCAAAAGCAATGACAACGCTGATCAATAGCTCTCTTTATATCATGGGCTCAGACTCTCAATTAAGTGTAACAGATTTTGACGATATACTTGTGTGATCAGTGCTGAAGTTAACACTTCATGAACCAAATTACAAGGAAAAGGAAGTCCACTGACCTATACGTTAGACAAATTCCGGGCTCGTAAGTGCATTTTTTGTACTGTCTTTCCTTACCAGATTTGTATGGGTCTGCATAAAACATGTTCATAAGTGTTATTGACCAAGCGTGAGGTCAAAATGGCTGGATATTGGGCGAGTTCTTTTTTTTTTTTTTTTTTTTTTTTTTTGCGTTTTTATGGACTGAGACGAAGTCTCGGTCCGTAAAAAAGGTAAAAAAAGAACGAGGCTAACATCCAGTTATCTTGACCGAACAAGCTTGGTCAAGAGAGTTTGTATTCTCTTGGCTTAATCATTAAAGGATTCATTGTATAGAAAAAGATCTCGCTTTGATAAGAATCAAGAATGGCTTGTTTATTTCGAGAACCGATAGTGAAAGCCAACTGTGTTTGCAACACAATAAACCCAAGAGGGTCGTTTATTTTTTTTCTATGAATATGCCGATATTGTCCAAAAGTTACGAACTTTGTAAGTTTTCTTGCGTGGGGTCAATACGGGGAATCCAAAGCGGGTGAGGGTAGGCCCATCATGCCCGCTCAGGTAGCCAGTCAGAACACAGGATTCACTTCATCTTGCTCGCACGCGCTGCTAGCTATATGATAAAGTGACTTACAGAGCAAGATATCTACTGACCGATCATATATTATTCCATTTCACGATCACAGGTCTCGACCTGTTGCCTTTTTTCCACGCAAGAGCATTGAGCTACAACATTCAACGCATGATGGTCAGTTGATGGTCTGATAAACCATTTTTTTCCTTTAGCCCCTTATGACAGGTTCATCAGTTCCCGAACCGAAATATTGGGAAAACATATATTTTACAGTTGATCTCAAGTCTACATTTCATTTTTTGACTTCATCTCTTCTCCCTCCGTGAGGGGAGAAAATGAATAGATAAATAGATGAATGAAAAAGGAAAGCTCAACAGTTTCCATTTATAGTCATATGGTACATGAACTGATTACTGAGGTGGAGTAAAGCCATAGAGGGCTACAAATGCAATACCCCAGGTTCAAAATTGAATAAATCAAGGTAGTCATTCTTAAAAACGAACTCAAATGCTTCATTAAAATCAATTGACACTGAATAACATAGATGTGCAAAATTTCAGTAACACTATTGATGATAACACTTTTCTTTTGGATTAACATGTGACAGCGAAATCATTCAGACTGCTCTAAAATGGTGCATCAGTACTTAGGACTTTAACACGAACGATAACATCAACAATAACATGCTAGTTCATCATCAATTGTAGTAAATTTCTTTTCCAAAAAGTCCTAATGATTACGTACCAATCGATTCCATCCTATTGAGCTTCCAGCCCAGCACAAGCCTACTTTAGGCTGGAAATAATTTTTTCCAACTCGATCAATAAACCGCTCAAAGGACCATACTTCGACTGCTGATATTTCTTATGTCCAGCAAGTAAAAGGACGCCCATTGATATCAGCGAGCCCGTAGTGTGATATGTATACTGGTCAGCGGTTTTTTGGTGCAACAGCTGCCACTTTAACATCTCAAGGTGGATGTCCGCCATAACAACAATGCACTGAAGGAGTTAAACGATTGCATTAGAGGCTTATTACATTTAGGACTAAATGTTATTACATTTAGGACTTTATTACATTTAGGACCAAATGTTATTACATTTAGGACTTTATTACATTTAGGACAGTTATTACATTTAGGCCTTCAACACATGTTTCGTGAACCAGCCATCGAGCGTAGAAAAGCATAACCGATTCAATTTTAGATTACTTTTGGATAACTTGAGAATCGAAATTGAAAAGTGCCTGAAGCAGTTATTTATGATTTGAGTTTATTCGTTCGCTCTTTGGTAGACCTTCGACAACAGCACGGCATCTTTGCCACCAGTCGCGTCCTTGGTGAACTCGTCCTATGAAGCGGCAAGCGGAAACTTCTCAGAAGTACAAGAAGCTCATCAGGATTCAGAACTACTTAAGGACGTGACAGATGCTGAAGGTATGTATATTAGAAGATACTTTCAGTTATGTGGCGCATTTAATTGTTGCTACAACTTGGCTTTTCAGTGGACATTGAACCGATGATAAAAAGTGAAATGTGCGAGACATAAACCATCTGAGTTGTCTGTGACGATTCATCGTTTTCCATTCCAGTTCTTATTTCGCTGTTGAATCTTTACCCTCTGAGTATCAAAGAACTCTTCGGTGATCTTTGCCATATATTTGGGTCATATATGAAAAGTATCTTACATACCACTAGTATCACTGAAGCTCAAAGTGTTCAGTGGTTAGGTAGAGTTGGGGAGACTTTTTCAGGAATTTGGTCGTCAAATATTGTTTTGGGTTGCGTGCGACTGAAATAGAACAATCCCTTTGATTCTTGAGAATTTTTCAATACCTTACAAAATCATTGAATTTTTAGGCACATTCCTTTTAATTCCTTTCAGAATTGCTGACCCAATACATCGCACAGAGAGACGAACATGAAAGACTGGGTCGAGAACTCCAAGAACTTGATAGAGAGGCAGATGAATTACCAGGACAATTTAGTGTGGCTGCTGAGCAGTATTCACAGTGTGCGGGCGCATAACGAACTCTGGTCTGGACAACAGACGTCAGTCTTACTTTATGTATATATTTGTATCACGATCATATTTTGTTTTACTTACAAAGACAGTCGACAGGTTTTTTTTTCAAGCGAGCGAGTATAATATTTCTTTCTTGCTGTATGGTTAGGTCGTGCCATTTTTAGCGGTTTTGCTGCATTTTAAATGATTTTCAGTGTAAGTAAAATCCAGCGGTAAAATTGAAAGCTGCTTTAAAATCTGTCGCGACTGGTAGATTCTGAAATTGCAAAGGAGTTACGTCACGAAGCATTATTTAAGGGACGAGAGGGGTCATCATAAATGTTTGTTAAGGAATAGAAACCGGTAGATTGTAGTTCATGGATGCAAACTATTTTATGTATTTGGATGGATAGGTGCCCTGATAAAAGTTGAATTTTATCGTACGATAAGTCAATTGAAGGCATAACGATAATTGATACAAGTTTTAAGCTCAAAAAAATGCTGGAAACATGGATAATTGGACATAGACAATTAAAGTTTTAATTTTTAATTTTAGCAAGTCTTCCAGGACCTCAGCATGCAGCTAATGAATAGTAGTGATTTAAATTCTAAGTATTACTAAATTGATATTTTGGTTTTAAATTTGCTGATCGGCCAGAGGCAAATTTTTTAAAAGCTGTTTTATGGTAGGAACAACGACTTGCGCGGGCCTCTTGTTATTCTAGACCTTAAAACCCATTAGAACAAAAATTACCCGTATGGAAATGCCCGAAGAATGTCTCTTTGAGGATGCTGAGGCTATGAAGAGTTTAATGTTGCATGTCATTTCTGTATTTTTACTTGAGACAAATTTGCGCGTTTTCAGCTGCTCTGCTACGGGGATCCTAAGAGGACAAGGGCACTATTCACTGGAATTCACTTAGGGACGCGAATAGAGAGATTTTGTTGTTGCCATAAGCTAGCATTATGTTGACGCCTTTTGTTTCTCCGTGGACCATTTCTAAAGATATACGTGACTTTCGGAAAAACGTCAAAGCAACAGTTGCCTCAAACTATAAGGAACACTGATCTCTCAGAGTGCTATAGCTAAAAGAGCAAAGATGTTTCGACTGGAGAAAGTGAACAAAAATTCTGTGTAACCCACGCAAAGTCGTTCCTATCGCTTTCCCAAACTCTAACAACGACTCTTGAGGAGAGAGAAGTATCGAGCGTTACATTTTTGATTTTATGATTAACTTTCTTTGAAATAAATATTAGGTTTTAGTAAATGTCATCGAAACGTTCTTGCCCTGATCAATATGCGTAGTTACGTAGTAAATTTATATCGGATAAGAGTGTGTTGTACAGTATTTATTTTATAAGATGAATGATAGTTGGCATTTTTTATTCTTACCTATGATCGTGAGGACCTATGAGCGCAAAAGATCTTAAAGGGCTCAACTAGCGTCGTTCCCAGTATACCTCTGGGTTAGATAGGAAAGAAAGATGGGACGCCACTAAAGACGGACGAAAGCTGGGTCTGAAAAGTGTGGGGAATATAAAAATTACCCGCTCTACTCGCTGACCTCGGTCTTGCCTGACTCGCCTGTCAAAAGCTGACAATTCCGCTCATTTTGCAAGTTTCCCCTTAATAGTGCAGTTATCAAAAGAGCAAGCTGTTCCATAAAACTTTGTTTGTTTGTTGCGTTGGATTTGCTATTCATACAACTATTGGCAGCATGACTTGCATGTTAACAGGTCTTACAGAACCTCATCACTGATCGTGCAGAGTTCTTAAAAAAATTACAGTAATCCCTAAAGCTGAATAGTAACCTGAAAGCACGTTCACGAGTAGAACCGAGTAAGACCAGCAGCCATCTGTTGACAAAAACTGTAAATTCAGAGCCTTAAACCGATAATCATTTCACTAACGATACAATAAAACTAGAAGGAAAAAAAAACCTAGTAAGTCGAAGCTCATCATCTGTGGCTTGATACGCATGACTTGTGAAGCATTACAATTTATTATAATTAATTATTTGCTAACTTTAGTAAACCAGCTTTTGTCCAATGTATGTAAAAAGTATTTGTCAATTTATCATGTTGGATAGGCAGTAATTATTCTTTGATCTGATCTTAAACCGATAATCATTTCACTAACGATACAATAAAACTAGAAGGAAAAAAAAACCTAGTAAGTCGAAGCTCATCATCTGTGGCTTAAGACGCATGACTTATGAAGCATTATTTGCGAACTTTAGAAAACCAGCTTTTGTCCAATGTATGTAAAAAGTATTTGTTAATTTATCATGTTGGATAGGCAGTAATTATTCTTTGATCCACCTTGTGTAAGATGACGGTCACACAAAAGCACTCAGCTCCATTACATCCAAGATTTCCAACTTGTAACGAAAATCGCTTCTGTATAACCTCCTTCTTATCATCAGAGCTGTGAGGTTTTAAGACATCAGGTTGTATCAGCGTGTCTTTAACCAGATTCCAGACGACATTTTCGTCAGACGAAAGGAAAAGGCTTTTCCCCTGTATTCCTGGGTGCATGTGACCGGCTCTGATTTTTTCTTTAACGGTATCGGTGAGGGTGAAACCAGGCACCCAACTCCTTGTAGAATCTGTCATTTTGTTATTAGAGTCCTTTCAGGTTTGAGTGTATTTCCTCTCAATTTTTGCCAACTTTTTCGTTTACCACTTCAAAATAACCGAACGTAATTGTTTTAACTCTCCGAAAAGCAATCTTGGAACTGTCCTACACAATATTCATGGGGTTTTAGAGGTCTGCTTGGAAATAATTCTTTGAAAACAGAAAATGAAGATCAACAGGATAAAGCAGTAGCCAATCAGAAGGGAACGATCTGAATGCCATGTGTAGATCTTGGTTTTACGTAGGACTGTTTATAGCACGCGCGCATAAGCTATGTTTGCGTCCAATCAGAACCGAACATCCGAGTGAGTGAGTGTCGTGTATATATGTTATTGTACGTAAGGCTGTTTATAGCACACGCGCATGCGCTATGTTTGTGCTTACAATCAGAAGCGAAGATTTGAGTGAATGTATATATCTTAGTGTACGGAATAAAGGGGTAAGTTTCTAAAGAAACTGTGGTGCTGCGTCGGTGGGAGAGTATAGCAGGTAATTTAGTGTTAACAACTGGGTTGAAAACGTAAATTAGCCACCGTAAAGTCAGCTTTTTTACCCTTTACGGTGGCTAATTTACGTTTTCAACCCAGTTGTTAACACTAAATTACTTAGTGTACGGAAGGCTGTTTATAGTACACGCGCATGCGCTATGTTTGTGCGTTGGTCGTCTTGTGTCCCGTTCGACACCTTTGTGTAATAATTTTTGGAGAGGATAAAACATTGTGACAAGTTTACCAACATTTCTAACTCTGTGGATACTCGTAATGTTTGTTGGCTCTTAGGATGGGCATATTTTAATGATCAAAGTCCGAACAAAACGTCAAAAAAGCCCGAAAACTATGAGTTTGAGATTTGATTTATTGAAGATCGAGATGCGCACATGAGACTACAAACCTTGAAGGTTAGTCTTAAAATGTTGATTTTTTTTTTTTTTTTGTAAGAATCACAAAGTTGTATGTGGAGACGATCGTGAGATATTTGATTCGATGAAAGAGTTAATTTAGAATGTGATCTTATTTTACTTGAACTTTGAAGTATAATTGCATCAAGTTCGAGGTGACCCCCACGCTTCAAGTCACTTCAAATCACATCGTCTTTACTTTCTCTTTAAGTCACATAGGACACAAACCTTTAAAAATTTTTTCAGCTTCAGGATTTAGTTCCTCTTACTACAACCTTCGGTAAATTCGTTTTTGGGAGGTTGAGGTGGATTTTCCTATTCATAGCTCACAACCGTCTTGAGCCTTTTAGCTCTCCAAGTCTGTTGTACTTGGTATGTAGGCATATGTCTTAACATCGGTTAAATGAAACAAAATAATTGTCATTACATACGACCAGAGTTATGAAATTTTACTTCTGATGTACTCATGGCTGTTCATCGGTTAGTATTGTTGGCAGTTGTTCCTTTCACTCTCCCCAATCTTTTTCTCACACCTAGCAACACGGTCAAACAAAGTCCTTTGTTAACTTTGCAATTGTTTAATTAAAAGGTTTTTACAGGGGGTTAATACTTTACAAGGTGAAAATCCGTGGATTGTTTTCAAAGTTTTTTTCAAACATGTACAGCTGTTGTTAGATCAATGGACTATGTTTGACTTTGTTGCTATGGGAGTGGAAGATGTGAATAATAACCAAGGCTTTCTCAGGTGTAATCAAACACATAATTATATTTAGAGTCAATAGCTCTTTAACTACGCAAAGGTTTAGTAAAAGGTTTTACAGAAGGTTTATACTCTGCAGGGTAAAAGCTGTGGATGGTTTTCAATTTTTTTTTCGAACATGATCAGCCGTCAATTGTACAACAGACATTGTTTGACCTTGTTGCTATGTGTGAGAGAGAGATTGGGGAGAGTGACACAAACAACTTCAAACGATACTAACCAACAAACACACATGAATACATCAATAGTAAAGTTTTATTCCTCTGGTGGTTTGTAATGACAATTATTTTGGATGTTGGCAAACTAACATATAAGCTTTGGTGAACTGGCATTAGACATTGGCAAATCCATCTCATATGTCGGTGAACAGGTTTTGGCGAACTCACATGTTGGTGAAACGGCCGGCATTTGCCATGCAAAATGAATTTTTAGTTGATTTGTACTATGAGAATCGCAGATTAAAATTATCAAACTTCCTCTGGTTCTTAAAATATGAAACAAGGAATACAACTAATGGATTATTACTCAAGGGGCTGGAACTCCACATTTCTTTAAAATGTTGACTTTTCTATTATATTTAAAAACGAATTTCAGGTTAAAATGCCTTCAAACCAGTTTGACTTGCATTTCACTTTGCTAGAAATGTCTTGATCCTTCAATTTTTATTTCTTTATTGAGACTGATGATAAGAATTAACTGTTGTGTCTTCTGCTGTTTAGGGAGACGTGAAGTAACCCCAATACATACAATTGGTACTATTGACAGAATGGATAGGTGTGACATCTACTGTGGCAAGCTGGTATTCAAGAGATTGTCATTAGTACCAGAAGCTTACTAATGGTTTAAATTATCAATCTTTTGTTCTCGCCACGCAACTTGCCTCAACTAGCTTATGCTACATGCAACTTGTGTCTATACTTTTTTTGTAACCATAAAATTACCAATAAAGTTTTTGAAAGTTCTGTTCAAATTTCATTGGAAAAGAATATGAGGAGTGATTATGTGAAATATTGTCTTTTTCCTTAAGTGACCAATGTATGATTTGATTAATAATTGTCTGCCATAAAATTGGCATAGCCAAGTTGGTGTCTATTACTGCATAATATGCAATGTCAAAGTCCCCTTTGGACTTAAGTCTTATTTCTTTAAAATCTGATAGGTGTAAATTATCCATTTTCCATAGAGATCAAGAAACTTCTCTACATTAGTTTGATCTGACCTCATTTAGTCTTGTTCCCAAGGAAAAAAAGGCCTTTGTTTTTCATCCTTACTGTTAATATCAGCCCTACTGGTTCTTTGTTGTTTGGCTTGTAAAAAGTCTTTTCAGACCGTTGGATTTTCACATAACTCCTGATTTAATAGATTGGAAAATAAGGTTGCTAAGAGTGTATGTGATTTTGTTATGCAGTTGAAATGATAAGTGAATTTGATTTTTATTTGGAAATAATTAATTTATTTAACTATTCATATCAAAACTGGAGGCCCAAACCGGTCCTTTTTTAATTCACAATTTCTCCACATCATTGGTCATATCTGATGATATTTCTGAGACTAAAGATTAAAAAAGGGTTTTCCTTACTTCGATAAAATTCATAATTATTCCTCCATTTCTAACAAGCTCTCCGTTGATGTAACGACCATATCTCTAGTAATAACGTTGTCTTACTTTTCTTTACTCGACATTGACCTTTTTTGTTGTGATAATAGGCCCTTCTGGTTGTGATTCGTGTCAAAAGAAAGTTTTGAAACAAAACAACTTCTGTAAACCTAAATTTTTCGCCAAAATTGCAGGTACATTGCATTAGCAGCACAGTTGAAGCTCTACAAACGCTCACAGGAAATTGAGTATTTGAAATGATCAACGAGAACTAGAGATAAAAGTATACTATCAAATACGTTTGTGCTCTTCGACAGGCCTCTTGCACCCTTCACAAATAACATCATCTACATCGATCGCCCCAAAAATCATAAAGCAGGACTCGAAGTCGATTGTATAATCTTTTGTTTTCAGAAAATAACTTCCTTCCACAGACCACACAACAATTTTAAGACTTTGATGCTTCCATCTAAGTTACAGAGGGGAAAATGTCAAGAAAGTTTCTCTTAAATACTCGATCCATAGTTGTTTTCCGACGTAATTTCCGATCAAACAAAAATTTTTGGAACATGCGCAGACAGACATGCGTCAGCGGTTGCTCGCTAGAAGCCTTTTGAAAACAAAATGGCGGAGATTTATAGGTGTGCGGTGGGACCACAGTTATATCGGATTTTTACGAAAAATAGTCGACAAGTAAGTGTTGAGTCATGTTGAGTGGACGCTTTTTTACCTTGAAAATACTATTTTACCTTTTGGTTTTCGTGATTTGTTAGCTTATATTTACTGAAACAAAGCTAGCCATCACCTGTCTTGCAGATTTAGATTCTGAAGTCGTGGGTTTTAATTAGTTTCGTTTTTTAGCTTCGAATATTTCTTCTTCTTTGTGGTGTTTTAACTTTATATGGCTTGAACTATTTTACAGAGTAGACCGTACGAGGGGAATACCTTGGAGCAATGTGGCTCAGGAGTTTTACGAGCGGTAAGCGAATAAGAAGCCTACTTCAAGATTTGATTCTACTCCATGGGCCAAGCTTGAGCTCTAAAGAATACTTTGCCAAATAGTTATTTTCGCGCAAAACCGAACGTTGTGGGATTTTTGACGACGACAATTGCTTTGACTTTTACAGCATATCAGCTTAAGGTTGGGAAGGAGATAAATATTTTGCATGAGAGCTTGACAATCTTAAATCTCTGAGGAGTAGAGTAGTATTTCTTTCTTTTTCTCGGAAATTAGTTCTGACTGATATTTTGTTGTATCCTCTCCAGGACATTAAAGAGGTTATGTAACATTTTGTGAACTTCTCTTGTAGTTGTCATTAGCATGGTCAGTTTGTTACTCTACTTCCTTGTTAACTGCACCTGCCATAGGATTTTATCTCGTTAGGAAAGGTCTGTATCTCTTCTTGAAGTTTTTCTTACTAGTCAACAAACACAGTTATTGATAAGATATGAATATTTTATACTGAGATGGCTTCATGTAGCTCTGCAAACAGCAGGGTGAAACAGATCATGTTTTCTTATTGGTTATGCAACCAACATACCAAGGAGGTGAAAATTAGTTAACTCTTGAACTTCCAGAGAGCTAAAACTTGTAACTTCTTCCAATAATATCCATTTATTATCCAGCAATCAGGTAATAAAAATAATAGGGGGTAAGTTTCTGAAGAAACTGTGGTGATGTGTTTGTGGAAGAGTATAACAAGGTAAACACTCCGACAAAGGGCTGTTGCTTGAAATGTTAGCTTTATAACTCTTTATGGCGGCCAATTTATGTTATCACCTCAGTTTATAATACCAAATTATCAGAATACTGAAGCTTATCAGTTAGAAGTTGTTATCTACATCTTACACCTATTTCTTGTAACTGAATTAATTTGCAAGGAAGTGTGTAGCAGCCAGAGGGGAGAATTAACAATCAGATCTTAGGAATTTAAGGGTTAAGAATGATAAAGAACATTTACTAGAAAGTTTGGGCTAAATTCTCGCAATTTCATAAATCATGGTGTACTTACAGAAGTTAAATATTGGCTGCCAATGGTTCTCTGGTACTGATTACATGAGACCTTCAACCACTTTCAACTGAGATTTTGTTGATAAGATTTTTATTGCTGCACTTGTGATCACATAAGTTTATCCCATTTTAAGTATAACTGAAACCCCTATAAGGTAGTTCCTTTATGGCAGTGGAATTTTATCATAAAACTTGGAAAGCAGTCCAAAATAACATTACACTTGTAAACTTATCATATCATTATTAATGATGATACAGAGATTTTAAGTTTGCAAATCTGTTTACAGTGATCTTTTGACAAGGAATTAATTATGTGATGTTCTTCCTTTGATATAAGGTCTGTTGAGTCATGCAGGTTTGGTAAGCTTGTCTAGGTTCATTGGTACAGGACTTATGGTTGTGTTTGGAGCATTGTGCATAAGAGGTACAGTAGCTTGTAGCCTGGAGATGATGAAATTTAGTTGGGGAGTTGTACTTAGTCCATTAAGTGAACTTACAGTACAACCCTTGTGCTGTGCTGTAGTAAATTAACTCAGTGTTTCTAATCATCATATTGGTAAACAATCTTTGTATGTTAATAATAACTTTATTGGTCTGATTTGATTCCCAAAAACTTGGATTGCCTATTATCACATAAAAATTATTAACAACTTAACACTGGGCATAATTTTCTCACTGACAGGCTCCTCTCACACCTTAACAGACTCCACTTTTGCAAAAAAACTTTGCACTGCCAGCATTTATGTTTCTAGTATATTAATAGTAATTCTTATTTGGAAATTTAAGAATCAAATGTTGATTCTTAAAGAATGAACAGTTAGTGTCATAATTTTTATGCACAAAAATTTATTGAGGGCTGATTTTTTTATGTTAATCTTCCTCAAACACTTCTCTTAATTCAGTGCATTTAAAAAAATTCCGTAATTTATGTTTTGTTATTTTATCTGCAGGATATGGACGATTTAAAAATCAGGACTACAGAGTATTCTTAGCTCTTTTAGAAGAAACAAGAATGAATAACAATGAAGAAAACAAGGTGTGTTGAAGTCGACAGACATAGTCTCGATCAATACATATTCGATAACAGTTACTTGAATGCTACCAAAATAGGCTTTATTCTTACTCTAGATAGGTCCAAATATTTGGACTATTATATGTCTGTCCAGCCTTCCATTGAATTACTGTCAGTAAAGGTGAAGGAAAGGGGGGGGGGGTGGGAAAGGGTAATTTAGTCAGCTTATCCTGATTTCAATGGCATTAAGTGAGGGGATACATACAGTTTCTTTCCAGTGTTTTGTCACTGTTAGCCTTATGCTTCTCTGGTACACATTTACACTCCTTGGGGAGGAGTGGAATTATAAAAGAGTGTAGTGTCTTGCCCAAGAACACAACACAATGACCCAACTTGTGCTTGAACCTGGAACTTTTGATCCAGAGTCCAGCAACCCAACCTGAGGCTTACTATGTCTCTCCATGTATGACTGACATTCATGTTAATTTGCAATTGAATGTTACAGAAAAGACTTGGGTTGTATGACTTCAGTTTTGAAGCTTGGCCTGTTGATTACAAATGGAATGAATCCAAAGCTAAGTGAGTCATTCAAGCTGAATTTTTCTCTCTCTTGAAGATGACAAATGACATCCATGTTATTAATTACTGTATTTACACAATTGAACATACATTTATTTACACATATATCCTTAATTAAGGAAGTAATAGATAATATTGAAGACATTGCATCATGAAATCACATCATGCAGCATATTTAGAAGTGAATCATTGCTGCATGTGTGTGGTTTTATAGTGTTATTCACAACTACATTAATATTTTATAGCAAAAGAGAAGTTTTTATTAAAAACAGTTCTCCAAAGCCATTTTTCTTGAGCTTGGTAAAACTTATCATTTATTTTGCATGTTTTTATTTTTTATTACTGGTTGTATCTGTATAATCATGTATTTATTGCTGTCCTTGGAATATTATTTTTGATTACTAGTCAAGATGTGCACAGGGAAGCCAAGAACGCCCCTTCTCAAAGCAGGTCTTCAGAATTTTTATCCTTCCTTAGATTGTGGCCTTGTGACTTTCTCAAGTAATAATCATTTGCACTTTCTTAATCTAATTTGTAGATTCTTAGCAGCATCCGGAAGAATGATAGGTAAGATCCAACTCAAATAAAGTTATCCTTCATTGGAAAAATCTTACAGTGATGCCTGACCCAGTTCTCACATAGTATTAAGTATTTGGTGTACTATCTGGATCTGCAAAAGAGGTAGCAGGAAATTAACAGGTTAAGGAAGGGGAAAGTGGCTTCATGTTTTGCAACTTTTACTGAGGATTGTTTTGGATTCCCAGGCCCTTACGGGATTTTAAACCATGACCTCCGTGATACCGGTGCAGCGCTCCACCAATTGACTCTGCCAACTCTACCAACTCATATATTGACGTATATGATTTTGGCAACTGGCTCACATGTGATTTTACCAACTGGCTCGTTAGCTCAGTTGGTAGAGCTCTGCACCGGTATCGCAGAGGGGTTCAAATCCCGTATAGGCCAAATTTTTTTAGGCCTTATTTTCACTACTGCTTTAGTGGTGTTGATATCTGCAAGGATCGTTTTCATATTCGTTTTCTTCGACTGCAGTTCACATATATGATTTACATATATGATTTTCATATATTTACAGTCATTTATTCAGCACTTGGAGGGTTTATTTGGAACCAACATAATGACTTGTTCCCAGTTGGCTTGTTAGCTTAGTTGGTAGAGCGCTGCACCGGTATCGCAGAGGTCATGGGTTCAAATCCCGTACGGGCCTGGTTTTTTTAGGCCCTATTTTCACTACTAAAGTAAAAAGGCCTTTTATTTCACCAGGGACTGATTAGGGTATGACTTTCGTTCGTCTTTATTTGGCTGACGCTGCCATTCACCGTAAATTGCATAACAAAGCGCGCGGTTAGTGTTCATAATGTGATGCATTCTGAGTTTAAAACGGTGGTGATTCTTTTCGTTCCTGTCAGGTTGAACATCGTTTCTCGGCGTCGTACTCCTCAGGACAGAGTTTACTGACAAAGATAAACAAACTGTGGACGATATGGAAGAAGTATTAAAGTGCTCGGATACTGCGAAGACCAAAGCACAGAATGCATTGCACACAGCTGAACTGGCCTTTAATATCTCTGAACAAGCGAAAGAGGTAAGTATCTTACGAATTGTAAGTTTCTTATAGTAAACTGTCACCATCTTTGATCTATAAGCTGTTCCCTAATCATCTTTTATCACTTATCCACTCACTGGGGCGATTCTATGCGATTCGGTCCAAATTACTGGATACGTGTACAGAGCAGAAAGCTTTTGTACTCTGAGCCAAATTTTTGTTATACGCCTGTTAGGAAATGTAAGGAAAATGGGAAATTCGAATGTGAAGAGGAGCCCTTTAAATTGATGAATGACAAGAAATGATTGATTTTAGTAATGATTTTGTACTCGTTCTAAATTTTTTCGTGAAGAATGTCACTAGATGGAGGCGCTGTTGAGAGAAAACGCGGCGCGTAAGGTATAAGATGCACATATGTCATGGGGCCAGTTGTTATAATGGGGGCATTGATCGTTCGTTTTCGTAAAAAAGAGAAAAGAAGAGGCTACGTCTTGCGTAGCAGGCGGTTTAGCGTGCGCTTAAGCTACAAGGAGCGAAGCCGCGTCAGGCTTGGTATCGAAGATATGTTTTAATCGCAGCTTGACGCGCATCACTTAGTGCGTATAGTGCGCACAAAACCGTCAGCTGCGCAGGCTGGTAAGAAGCTTTCCTGATCAGACGAGTGGGTCTAGAGACATGAGTTGAGGATGAGCGCGTCGCTTCAAATCACCAAGCGCAGCATACTCAAACGTGGTCTTAAGAAGTACCCTCGCAGTTTTGTACTGGTACACACCCGGCATGGAAGAAGTTCTTGTAAGGCTCATGTTAGAGCTTGAGCTTGAATAGATAAACTAGAACGGTTATCGGCTGTGTGTTTATCAGGATAGAAATGGATATGCAACAAGCCTATGAATACTTTTATTTAAATTCTCGTGAACGGCCTCAAGCGTGGGAAAACACGGGTAATCAGGGAAGCGATTCGTTTTCGTTTGCCATCTGGTTGGTTGAGAAATTGGCGCATGTTTCATAAACCAGTCATCGAGCGTAAAAAAGCATAACCAATTCAATTTCAAATTACTTTTGTATTATTTGAGAATCGAATTTGAAAAGTGCCTGAAGCAGTTGTAGAGCAACCTCCATCAAGCACAGCCTTGACTACGCGGGGGTTTTGACCCACGCTCCGAGTGAGACGTCCGGTTGCAACGCGGGCTTTTTACACTACGCTCGGCAAATCCAAATTTTTCCTATAAGGTTTCCATTTAGTCATGATCTTCATTATTCACTATGATTTGAGTTTATTTGTTCACTCTTTGGTAGATCTTCGACAACAACACGGCATCTTTGCCACCAGTCGCGTCCTTGATTAACTCATCCTATGAAGCGGCTAGCGGAAACTTCTAAGAAGTACAACAAGCTCATCAGAATTCGGAAAAACTACTTACGGACGTGACAGAGGCTGAAGGTATGTATATTAGAAGATAATTTCAGTTGTATGGCGCATTTGATTGTTGCTACAACTTGGCTTTTCAGTGCGCACTGAACCGACCGAAAAGTGAAATGTGGGAGACAAAGAACCGTCTGAGTTCTTTGTGACGATTCGTCGTTTCCCCCTGCAGTTCTTATTTCGCAGTTGAATCTTTACCACCTGAGTATTAAAGAACTCGTCGGTAATCTTTGCCATATATTTGGGTCACACATGACAAGCATTTTGCATACTACTGGCATCACGGTCGTTTGAAGTGTTCAGTGGCTAGATAGAGTTAGGGAGACTTTTCTTGTAGTTCGGTCGTCAAGTAATTTTTTGGGTTGCGTGCGACTGGAACAGAACAATCCGTTTGATTCTTGAGGATTTTTCAATATCCTACACAATCATTTAAGTTTTAGACACAATCCTTTTTGCGTCTGTAGCTCAACATATTTTAATTTCTTTCAGAATTGCATACCCAGTGCATCGCACAGAGAGACGAACTTGAAAGACTGGGTCTAGAACTCTAAGAACTTTGATGGAGAGGCAAATGAATTACTAGGACTATTTAGTGTGGCTGCTGAGCAGTATTCACAGTGTGCGGGCGCATAACGAACTCTGGTCTGGACAACAGACGTTAGTCTTAATTTTCGTATATATTTGTATATCGATATTACTTTGTTTTACTTACAAAGACAGTCAACAGGTTTTTATCAAGAGAGCAAGTATACGGTTAGTATACATGCTGTACGGTTAGGTCGTGCCACTTTTAGCGGTTGTACTGCATTGTAAATGATATTTAGTGTTTAGAGAACCGCTTGAAAATCTGTCGTGGCTGGCAGATTCTGATATGTTAAAGGAGTTACGTCACGACTTTTTGAGACTTTTTTTAGGGGAGGAGAGGGATCGTCATAAATGTTTGTTAGGGAAAAGAAACCAGTAGATTATAGTTCAGGGAAGCTAAATACCAACCAGATAAACTGAAACCAAAAATAGGAAAGAGAACGATTATGGATGTAGACGATTTTATGTGTACGGATGAACAGCAGCCCTCACCTGATAAAAATTGAATTTTATCGCACGATAAGTTAACTGGAGATATAACGGTAATTGATACATTTTTTAAGCTCAACAAATGCCTGAAACATGGATATGTGGACATAAACATTTAAACTTTTAATTTGCATGTTAATAAGTCTTCCAGGACCTCAGCAAATGTCAGCTTATGATTAGTAATGATTTAAACTCTAAGTATTACTAAATTGATATTTTTAACGGTCAGAAGTGTAGAGAATAAGTTGGAAATACTTTAGGTTTTAAAACGATTAGCTACTTGTAAATTTGCTGATCAGCCAGAAGGAAACTTTTTTGAGAGTTGTTTTATGGTAGGAACATCGACTTGCGTAGCCTTGTTATTCAAGACCTTAAAACTCCATTAAAGCAAAAATTACCCGTATTGAAATGCTTGAAGAATGCCTCTCTCAGGATGCCGAGGCTATAAGGAGTTAAATGTTGCATTTCATTTCTCTATTTTTACTTGAGACAAATTTGCGCGTTTTTAGCTGCTCTACTACGGGTGATCGTAAGAGGACAAGTGCACTGTTCACTGGAATTCACTTGGTGTTGCGAATGGAGAGATTTTATGGTTGCCATAAGCTAGAAATGAGGCGACGCCTTTTGTTTCCGCAAACTATGAGGAATAGTTTCACTCAAGAGTGCTATAGCTGAAAGTGCAAATATGTTTCGACCGGAAAAAGTGAACAGAAATTCTGTGTAACCCACGCAAAGTCGTTCCTATGGCCTTTTAAAACAATAACAACGATTTTTAAGGAGAGAGAAGTATCGAGCGTTACATTTTTTATTTCATAATTAATTGATTTTCTTTGGAGTAAATCTTTAGTATTAATAAATGTCATTGAAACGTTTTCGCCCTGATTAATATAGCTAGTTAGGTAGTAAATGTATATCGGATAAGAGTGTGTTGTACAGTATTTACTTATAAGATGGATGATAGTTGGCATTTTTACATTCAATTGAAATGAAAATAAAGCTTTTTTATCGATACCTATGAGCGTGAAAGATGTTAAAGAGCTCAACCAGCGTCGTTCCCACTGTACCTCTGGGTTAGATAGAAAAGAAAGATGGTACGCCACTAAAGACGGATGAAAGCTGGGTCTGAAAAGTGTGGGAAATATAAAAACTACCCACTCTTCTCGCTGACCTCGGTCTTGCTTAACTCGCCTGCCAAACGCTGACAATTCCGCCTATTTTGCAGGTTCCCCCTAAATAGTGCAGTTATCAAAAGAGCAAGCAGGTTTATAAAACTTTGTTGTTTGTCGTCGTAGGATTCTCTATTTATATGATAATTGCTTTAGGGTTAGTACGATTAGAATTTTAACAGATCTTACTAAACCTCAGATCAATAATCGAGCAGAGGTAAAACAATTACATTAATCTATAAAGCTGAACAAAAAGTAAAACCAACAGCCTCTTTGTTAGCAAAAAATGTAACTTTACAGCCTTAAACCGTCGATGATTTCAAAAACGATACGCATGACAAACCTTAGCATGTCTTGACAAAATAGGAAACATTATAATGTTGTTATTACAATTATTTGCGAAGTTCGGAAAACAAATTGTCCAATATATTTAAAAAGTATTTGTTAATTTATCATGTTGGATAGGCAGTAATTATTCTTTGATCCACCTTGTGGACGATGACGGTCACACAAAAGCAGTCAGCTCCACTAAATCCAAGATTGCCAACTTGTGCCGAAAATCGTTTCAGTAGAACCACCTTTTTATCATTATAGCTGTGAGGCTTTAATACATCAGGATATATAAACGTGTCTTTAATCAGATTCCAGACGACGCTTTCGTCAGACGAAAGGAAAAGGCTTTTCCCCTGTATTCCTGGGCGCATGTGCTTGGCTCTGACTTTTTCTTTTACGCTATCGGTGAGAGTGACACCATTCACCCAACTCCTTGTAGAATCTGGCATTTTTGCATGAATCTCTTCAAGTTTTAGCGTATTTCCTTTCAATTTTGCAAACTTGTTCGTCCACCACTTTGAAATAACCGGACGTAACTGTTTTAACTCTCCGAAAAGCAATCTTGATACTGTCCTACACGATACTCATGGGAATTGTGTTTGGGTTTTAGAGGTACGATCGGAAATCATTCTCCGATGACGAACAAAAAAAGGTCAACAGGACAAAGCAGTAGCCAATCAGAAGGGAACTATAAAAATTGCGAACAAGGAACTGGCATCTAAATCGCTCGTAATTATAAATAGGCCCTACTTTGACCGCTTGTATGCGTTAATTTGCATGTAAGTTGATTCAAACGAAACTGAAAGAAAACTGGAGGAGAGGCAAAATGAGTGCGCATCCTCGGCAGATTTCGCGCTTTCGAGGAGCGATTTGTGATTCCAGCGGGGATGAAGTTTGCTTAAGAACGAATGGAACATTGTTTTACACTTTCTGGGACTGATATTGATATGATCCGACCGGAAAATTTTTTAATGGAGTTTGTTCTTATGGAAAAGTCTGAAGGGTAAATAGAATTATTTTAGACATGGTTCAATAAAGCTGATTTAAATTTATCCAGACAGCTCGCTGCGTGTTCCCGTTCCATTCACCAATTTTATTTACGAAACGCATTTCATCATTGGTATTTGTCCAGTACATGCTTTAAATTTAAAAAGCTTTTCGATGCAACTCTTGTGGTGGTAAAAGCTGCTTTACAGTCGAAATTAGTCTGCAATCTGTCGGTCGTTTTGCTTAAGTGAACGTTCTTTTGATCGACATAAGCTCAATGTAACAGTGTACCAAGCAATACCGCCCTATTACTTCCCCAACACAACTTAAACGTAATAGGTGCAATAACATTTATACTCGACACATTTCTTAACCTTCTTTGCGTCCGGAAATATGTCGATATAAATTTACGATCAACCGCCGTTGTTTGACGTTCACATGCATTTCTTACTACACAGTCTTACCTGAAGTTGATGAAAGTAACCGTACACAAATTCACCGTCGCTGATAGCTTTAACTTCAGCCAGTTTAATATGTCTACAATGTCACTGCGTTGAAACTGTGCAAGAAAGGCGCCTTTTGGTAAGTGGAGATGGCTATCCATTAAGATGATGTTGTCATTTGCATCACTTACATATGAAATCGTTAAACCATTAAGGTGAAAACTCAGAGCAGATGCCTCACTTGAATTAAGCTCCTTGACAAAAACAAACAGTTAACTCCTCTTCATAGGTCAAACTACCCAGGCTGCTTCTGACAAGAGGTATGGCTTCAGCAACACCAAGATATGATGGTGACTGCATGAAACTGTCATTGGTGGGAATTTGCAACTGAAGCAGGCCTTTCTGTGCTATGTCCTCTTTCTTGAGTTGTCCTGTGTGGAACACTTGGTTGTGGTATAGTTAGCTGTTCCAGATTTCTAGTTATCATATTTCCCCTATCATGGGACTTGTAAAAGTTTGATTACCTAGAGGCATGTATTGCTAGCTGGCTTTTGGGCTGTTCATGACTATTGTAGCTGTCTGCAATTTTGCTACCTGTATCATGCTCTATAATACCTTTATTGAAGGAATCAGCTAACTCATTTACTCTTGTTAGAAAAGGATCATTGCTCCATCAACTGGATGGACAACTGCTATGGCTAGGAGACTTGATGCTATATGAATTGCCGCATTAGCTTTATCAGTAGGTTTAGTAGGCACATTCATAACATGAAAATCATCAGTGAGATGGATAACAAGTTTTTTTGGTCTGAAAAAAAAAAATTAATTTCTATTTCATTGATTGCTTATGTTTTTACAAAAGTGGTTATGTTTATTGTTTGTTGTATTTATTCTGCTTTATCCTGCAGGCTGTCAGCACAGTTTCGTCCTCAACTTCCTTAGGGTTGTTTTGCCTACTGCTGTTTAAACGTGTCATTCATACATATTCCACCACTAAAGCCAAAGACTCTCCCTACAGTCTGTGCAGACCTGGTTAACCCATGAATATCAAGGAACATTTCAGCCTATTTTTGGAGGTGTGACGTTTTCTGGGATTTGAGGGAAATTGCATATTATTCCTGTTATCATACTTAAGAACAAAGGTTGTTTTGTACCAGTGACTGCTGACACTGTCAGAATAAAGCTGCTATGGAAATTTGTAAATTATATAAAATATAATAATTTTTTATTCTTCTAATGGCAAAACTTTAGGCAGGTACATTGCAATTTGAAGTAAATACTTAAAGTAAGGCAACATGTGAAGAAGTACAACTATTTGTTGCTGCTGTAAATGTGAATGCCTCTCACTGGCGGAATGTCTATCTGCACTCACTATTGTACTGATGAGGATGTAAAAGAGATGTGGTGCACGAGTCTCACAAAGTGCCTGCATATCATCAGATCTGTATAGAGATTGACCCCCACTCTCATAGTGCCTGTACAAGGCTGATTGAAATTTTTCCACCAGCTCTACAAGATTATTTATAAAATACAATAATAATGCATTTGACCACTCTGTTAGTTATATAGAAATATTTTCAACAATTAACCTGTGTTTACTTATAAAATAAGAGCACAGTGCAGAACCCCTATCAATATTATATTATTACCTGATTGATGTTGTCATGGAGATGTTTAACCCTGCAGGTGCAATCATAGCATAACTCTGGTTATTAGCAATATGGTGGATTGGTAACCTTTCTTAAATTATGTCCAGGCATAAGTAACGTACTTACTTATGCCTGGTGATTAATGTTGAGAAATTGGATGTACCAGCCTGTGCACCAATTTCCTGACTCTCTCTGTTGAGCTATTGAATTGTGGTAGAGCAGTATGTTTTGCAGCATATATTTAACTGCCATAGGTGGTCAATCACATTGACCATCTGTCGAATCTGTTTGGCACTCCTACTGAATTTTGCATGGCGCTCCATCTCCATTTTGCATGAATGTTTTTTTGCTTAAGTTAAACAATTTTGATCAGTGATCATTGTCTTTATTGTTTATTATGTAAAAGGTGAAGTGTGTAAACCCAGAATATCCAGCAGGAAATGAAAGCCTTTCAATATAACTTTCTAAAGTAAAGTGGTCCTCAAGGCAAATGTTTTGTTGGCATTTCTCTGACAACTTGTGTACCACAGCGTCCCTGGTCGATAACAAGCCTCACTTTTTCCAGCCTTGTCAAATAGTTTGTACAGTCTTGTGGGAATAGGTGTATCAGTCAGAGTGGAAGAATGTGAAGGTACAAGGCATGATCAGATGTTGCTCCTTTTTTGAATTGCTGATAATGACATTCACACAATATTTGTTGGTTCCACCTCTGCCACTTGAGTTATTTCAGTGTTAAAGGCAATTATGCTTCCTCTACAAGAAGAGCTATGGCGTGTTTTTTCTCTCAATCAACAAACCTTTTGGCTAGGCGGTTTGCCATGCCGAGGAGGTGATAAGAACAAGTGCTATAACAATGACACGGGCTTCGAATCTAAGAGCTCCTCGCAGCTAAGAACACTACTGTATGAGCTCTACCAACTGAGCTAACAAGCCAACTGGGAGCTGACCAATATGTTGGGTCCAAATAAATCATCCAAGTGAGGTCATGGGTTCAAATCCCGTACGGGTTTGAATTTCTTTCAGGTCCTATTTTCAACTACTAGTTCAGTAGTGTTCTTAGCTGCGAGGAGCTCTTAAATTCGTCTCTTTTACCGCAGTGCAAATATGTGAATTTCACATATCTAAAATCGCTATGAAGTTCATTGCCATGTGACGACCATTCCACTTCAATACTACAATTCACACCTGTGCCCTGAATACTTTTTTAGTTGGGAAAGATATGTTGTAGAGAAGGTTCGAAAGAAACTTTTTTGAAAATGGGAACCTTATCTGTGAAGGCTTGGGCTTACCCTTGCGAAATAAAAACAAACAGTGTTACTATGGAAATATTGTCATTCCCATTCCTTTCTGCGCGTAAATTTTCGGACGCGTTCCAAGCATGCGCACTCATTTTGCCGCTGTGTCGCGTCGGTCAGCAGTCAAACTACCTCGGTCGAGAGGGACTGAGATGGAATATTTAATGACTTGCAAAACATAACCGAAGATTCTCGGAAATCCGCGAGTGATGTAGCCGAACATCCAAAGCTGTAAATCCCATGATTCTTGAGGAACAAACAGAAACAACATGACTAGAATTTTAAAGCGCGAACCCTTGCTTGATGGTAGACATGCGGATAATTTAGGATACGTTAATTCTGTTGATGAGGCGCGTAAGCTTATTGCGGAATTTGAAACAGGATTGACGACGAAGTTTTCTTTCTGTAAAGCTGACAAAGGTTTCGGGAACACTCGGATATAGCTCTTTGGCATTACAAAGCTTTGCTATCGCTATTGTGCATTCTCACTACTTTATCTAGTTCAAGCCCTCTGGCATAGCTTGGATGATACCACAATTGTGGAATCATTCGGGTTATCTTAATGCTTACACCTCCTTCCTCGGACAGAAGTCACAAAATACTTTGGGAAGATGCACGAGATATTTAAGGAGCAAAAATTCGTCTTTTACTGGTGTGCCTTTCCTAATTTTGGGAAGGAAAGTGTTCAATTGCCAGTACGGCATAGATAGAAAAGCTGGAGAGAAAAGGAAAGGAAAAGATGCAGAAGAAGTACTGTATATAATATTTTCTTTTTATCCTCAACCTTTGTGTTACTGTCAACTATGGCTTGCTAATTCTAAAGCTCAAATACACACATGAATGGGTCATATGACAATGATCTCAGAATACTTTTATGACAAACGTGATAACAGTTCAATCTTGGCTAAATTGAAGATGGTTTAGAAGTTAACAATTATAAGAACTTTTCACTAACATATGCTGCTGACAAAGGAGAAAATATATGCAATTCTGCATTTTTTGCTTTCTATCAAGCCATCATATATTGGCTCCTTATCACGCTATGACACTTCCGTTATGTCACATGCCAAAAAATTAACTTTAGAAATACACTATCACTCATCTTACACTGTTATATTTACCTATTACGGAAGGCCAGAAACAAAGATTTTGTTTGCAAGAAAATAAGATATCTTGTTGAAGACACAAGGAAGTTTGACTGCAAAGCACTGATAAAAATGTGAGAAATTTAATTTTTTTCAGGGAACAAAGTAGTTCTACCCATGTATAAACAGAACGAATCCGGTTTAATAAATCAGATATGCGGCATGATTCCTTTTCTTCCATCCCCATTCAAAACAAGCAAACACACCGATGGAGGTTCCAGTCTGGTCTGCAAATGAAAAGGAGGAAGGTGATCATTGCAAAATTAAGCATTAGGGTTCTCATTTATAACATATTGATTATCATTATACTGATATTAAGAAATTAAGGTTGTGAGTAGCAGCCAGCTGAGTTATAGTTTGAGTTTTATCAAGTCCATTACTTTGTTAAATTTAGAGTAACCTTGTCTTGACAGAGGGAAATTGAGGAGCTGAAATATACTTATCATCAATTAGGGACCACAAAGAAAAATTTGTTTATAGAGACTTTTGGAGGAGAGGGGTAAGACTTGTGACAAGCTGGCAGACATATAGATAAACTTTACTGCTAAATGGGTTACAGTATAAAGTGCTCAGTATTTGGATCAGCTATGGCTCAACTTAAACTTTGCTTTAGCTCCAAGTTTAATCCTTTGTGGTTTCCTTTCTCTGTGTTTATTTTTCAAGTTATGTTACACAAAAGAACACAAAAATGACAAGGAATGCTTTTGAATACTAAGAGGCTGGAATAGGCAAGAAATCAAAACTGAATTTTAAACAGTACAAAGTTAATTTGATCTTCCAATGTTATTTAATTTAAACCATTAATAGAATTTGCTATTTAAATTTAACCCCTCAATTGTTTTGGATATTGTGAGCAAAAACAAACAATTATCACAAAATACACAGTATACGATGGTTTGACTCACCAATGTGGCAAAGGCCTTTCACTGTCTATCCATAAAAAGGGAAATAATTTGTAAAATGTAAGACATTCTGCATCTTGAGTGTATACTTATTCATCTATGTGAAATTAAAGGTTACTTTAAACAAATGTGGAAGATTTATAGGATTTTCAGACCCCTGATAACAATTACTGATGTGCTGATTTGTTGTACTTAAAGGTTATGATTTTAGTGGAAATAGTGGAAGAAATTTCTGGATCTAGAATTTTGTTGCAAATGTCTGTTTAAGTCAGTTTAAGTCAATTAAAGACTCTCCTATTTCAAGATTACATAATTGCCATACCAGAACCTTTTGTATTCTATATTGTGCACCATGTTATGATTACGGTTTCAATAATAAAAGGTTCTAGCTTAAGAACTTTGTAAAATATCGCTACATACAAAGAAATAGATTGTGGTAATGTACTCCAAATAGCAGGTCACATCAGTCTTCTGTAAAGGAAGTAGCAGAAATTGCTATGGTGGTTTTGGTGGATGGAGAGAAACATCCACCAAAACCACTTTATTTTATGTGTTATGAGTTATGATAATCACTATGAACGTTTGGTCGGTCAGCAATTGTGCACCATAAAAAAAAAAAAAGCAAGAGCACGAACCGCTAATTAGTGGTATAAATCTTTTGTCTCCCTGAAGATCTAACAGTGGCTATAGATAAAATTAAAAATATATATTGTTGATGGTTTTGGTCAAAGTTTTGGTGGATCTTCCCTATTGACATCCACCAAAACTACGTAACACCTGGGCACCTTTTAAATACGTGAAATATCTGCATAAAATTGCGTAAAATATTTTATAATACTACAATCGAACAATAAATTAATACTTACCATTTCTTGCGTAAAAAGTTTTGAAGCAATTTCCCACGGTAGTTAGATAACGGCGTAATATGTGACTAACACAGTCTATATACTGTAAGATTTTACGCCACAAACCCAGTCGGTGATTTAATTATAATAAATTAAAATATAATTAAATTATATTACTGGCGTAAAATGTTACATATATATATATCACCGACTGGAAGAAATTACGCCGTTAGTTACTGGCGTAAAATCTTCCATATAAAATAACCGACTGCAAGAAATTACGCCGTTAGTTACTGGCGTAAAATCTTCCATATAAACACAACCGACTGCAGGAAATTACGTCATTAGTTACTGGCGTAAAATCTTCCATATAAACACAACCGACTGCAAGAAATTACGCCGTTAGTTACTGGCGTAAAATCGTACATATGTAACATTTTACGCCAGTAATCTCAATTAATTATATTTTAATTTATTATAATTTAATCACCGACTGGGTTAGTGGCGTAAAATCTTACAGTATATAGACTGTGTTAGTCGCATATTACGCCGTTATATATATTCCCTAGAACAAGTCATGAGTTGTTCATCATTCCATCTCAGTCCCTCTCGACCGAGGTGGTTTTGGTGGATGGAATCTAATGCTGACCTGTCGCGTCAGCGGTTGTTCTCTCGAAGCCTTTTGAAAAACAAAATGGCGGAGATCTATAGGTGTGCGGTGGGACCACAGTTATATCGGATTTTTACGAAAAATAGTCGACAAGTAAGTGTTGAGTGGACACTTTTTTACATCGAAAATAGTATTCAACCTTTTGGTTTTCGTGATTCGCTAGCTTATGTTTACTGAAACAAAGCTAGCTATCACCTGTCTTGCAGATTTAGATTCTGAAGTCGTGGGTTTTAATTAGTTTCGTTTTTTAGCTACGAATATTCCTTCTTATTTGTGGTGTTTTAATTTTACATGGCTTGAAATATTTCAGAGTAGACCATACGAGGGGAATACCTTGGAGCAATGTGGCTCAGGAGTTTTACGAGCGGTAAGGGAATAAAAAGCCTACTTCAAGATTTGATTCTAGCCAAGCTTGAGCTCTAAAGAATACTTTGCCAAATAGTTATTTTCGCACAAAACCGAGCGTTGTAGGATTTTTTACGACGCCAATTGTTTTGACTTTTACAGCAGATCAGCTTAAGGTTGGGAAGGAGATGAATATTTTGCATGAAAGCTTGACAATCTTAAATCTCTGAGGAGTAGAATAGTATTTCTTTCTTTTTCTCGGAAATTGGTTCCGACTGATATTTTTTTGTATCCCCTCTTTAGCACATTAAAGAGGTTATGTAACATTTTGTGAACTTCTTTTGTAGTTGTCATTAGCATGGTCAGTTTGTTACTCTACTTCCTTGTTAACTGCACCCGCCATAGGATTTTATCTCGTTAGGAAAGGTCTGTACCACTTCTTGAAGTTTTTCTTGCTAGTCAATAAACACAGTTATTGATAAGGTATAAATATTTTATACTGGGATGGCTTCATGTAGCTCTGCAAACAGCAGGGTGTAACAAATCATGTTTTCTTATTGGCTATGCAAGCAACATACCAAGGAGGTTAAAATTAGTTAACCCTTGAACTTCCAGAGAGCTAAAACGTAACTTTTTCCAATAATATCCATATAGCATCCAGCAATCAGGTAATAAGAATTAAGGGGTAAGTTTCTGAATAAATGGTGTTGGTGGAAGAGTATAACAGGGTAAACACTCTGACAAAGGGCTTATGCTTGAAATGTCAGCTTTGTAACTCTTTATGGCAGCCAATTTATGTTATCACCTCAGTTTATAATACCAAATTATCAGAATACTGAAGCTTATCAGTTAGAAGTTGTTATCTACATCTTACACCTATTTCTTGTAACTGAATTACTTTGCAAGGAAGTGTGTAGCAGCTAGAGGGAAAATTAACAATCAGATCTTGGGAATTTAAGGGTTAAGAACGATAAAGAACATTTCATTAGAAAGTTTGGGCTAAATTTTTGCAATTTTGTAAATCATGGTGTACTTACAGAAGTTAAGTTGGCTGCCAATGGCTCTCTGGTTCTGAACATAAGACCTTCAACCACTTTCAGCTCAGATTTTGTTGATAAGATTTGTATTGCTTCACTTGTGATCACATATGTCTATCCCATTAAGTAGCTACTTATAAAAATGTATATAACTGAAACCCCTGTAAGGTTGTTTTTTTATGACAATGGAAATAAAAATAATATTACACTTGTAAACTTATCATATCATTATTAATGATGATACAGAGATTTTAAGTTTGCACATTTGTTTACAGTGATCTTTTGACAAGGAATTAATTATGTGATGTTCTACCTTTGATATTAGGTCTGTTGAGTCATGCAGGTTTGGCAAGCTTGTCTAGGTTCATTGGTACAGGACTTATGGTTGTGTTTGGAGCATTGTGCATAAGAGGTACAGTTGTATAGTTGGGGATTTGTGCTTAGTCCATTGTGAACTTACAGTACTACCCTTGTGCTGTGCTGTGAGAAATTAACTCAGTGTTTCTAATCATCATTTTGGTAAACAATCTTTTTGTGTTAATAATAACTTTATTAGTGTGATTTGATTCCCAAAAACTGGGATTGCTTATCATCACATAAAAATTATTAACAACCTAACACTGGGCATAATATTCTCACTGACAGGCTCCTCTCACACCCTAACAGACCCAACTTTTGTGAAAAACCTATGCACTGCCAGCATTTATGTTTCTAGTATATCAATAGTAACTCTTATTTGGAAATTTATAAATCAAATGTTGATTCTTAATGAATGAACTATTAGTGACTCCTAATTTTTAAGTGCAAAATTTATTGAGGGCTGATTTTTTATGTTAATCTTCCTTAAACACTTCTCTTAATTCTATGCACTTAAAAAAAAAATCCTTAATTTATTTTTTGTTATTTTATCTGCAGGATATGGACGATTTAAAAATCAGGACTATAGAGTATTCTTAGCTCTTTTAGAAGAAACAAGAATGAATAACAATGAGGAAAACAAGGTGTTGTTGATGTCCACAGACATAGACTTGATCAATATGTATTCTACAACAGTTACCTGAATGCTACCAAAAGTTGCTTTATTCTTACTCTAGATAGGTCCAAATATTTGGACTATTATGTGTTTGTCCAGCCTTCTATTGACTCACTGTAAAGGTGAAGGAAAGTGTGGGGGAGTGGGGTGGGGAGGGGTAAAGTCAGCTTATCCTGATTTAAATGGCATAAAGTGAGGGGATACAGTTTCTTCCCAGTATTTTGCCACTGTTAGGTGTATGCTTCTCTGGTACACATTTACCCTGCTTGGGGAGGAGTGGAATTATAAAAGAGTGTAGTGTCTTGCCCAAGAACACAACACAATGACCTAACCTGTACTTGAACCTGGAACTTTTGATCCAGAGTCCAGCAACCCAACCTGAGGCTTACTATGTCTCTCCATGTATGACTGACATTCATGTTAATTTGCAATTGAATGTTACAGAAAAGACTTGGGTTGTATGACTTCAGTTTTGAAGCTTGGCCTGTTGATTACAAATGGAATGAATCCAAAGCTGAGTAAGTCATTCAAGCTGAATTTTTCTCTCTCTTGAAGATGACAAACGACATCCATGTTCATATTTACTGTATTTACACAATTGAACTTACATTTATTTGAACATATACCCTTAATTAAGGAAGTTATAAATAATATTGAAGACATTGCATCATGAAGTCACATCATGCAGCATATTAGAAGTGAATCATTGCTGCATGTGTGTGGTTTTAAACTTTTGCTCACAACTAAATTAATGTTTTACAAAAAGACATATATTTTATGTGAACAACAATTCTACAAAGCCATTTTTCTTGAGCTAGGTATCATTAATTTCACATGTATTTGTTTTTTGCTACTGGTTGTATTTGTATAATCATGTATTTATTGCTGTCCTTGGAAAATTATTTTTGATAATAGCCAAGATGTGCGCAGGGAAGCCAAGAATACCACCTCTCAAAGCAGGTCTTCAAGATTTTTGTCCTTTCTTGGATCATGGCCTTGTGACTTTCTCAGGTAATAATCATTTGCACTTTCTAAATCTAATTTCTAGATGTTTAGCAGCATCCAGTTGAATGATAAGTTAAATTTGAGTGTAAGATCCAACTCAAATCAATTTATCCTATATTTGGGAAAAATCTTGTGGTGACACCTGACCCAGTTTTCACAGAGTATTTAGTATTTGCATTACTATCTTCACTCACTAATTCCTTAGAAACCAATTAAAAGCAGGAAGGAATTCTAGGGAAGGTCTTGGTTCTTATTCTTACACAAAATTTGGTGATTTGGTGTAATTACTTAACAAAGGATAATTGAGAAATTTAATTGTAATAAGGTTTAGGATTGCTTTGAAGACCAAGCTATTGTCTAGCCAACTCATCATATTTCTTGCAATCTGTTCTTTTATTGCCACTGCCATCATGATTTGCAAAGTCCCACTTTGTTCCTTTAGTTGGCAATGCTTTGTACATATTGATTAACATTTTTCAGGTATTTTGTGGCACACTCAGTTGGTCGCCCCTTGATCTACCCTGGATCCACTGGTCTTCTTCAAAGTGGATATGGTACAGCTTTAAATGCTTTTTACTGGCTCTTAAAAATTTTCTTGACTGAAGAACAATAAATAACAACTCTTTTAATACTGATTACCCGCCAACTTATGGGGATGAAGTGAAATTCTTGCGACTTTTAAATTGATAGTTGTTTGTCATGTGCATGAGAAATAAATCATGTAAAAGGTTTTATATGCAGAAAGTTCTGAAATGAAAAGTAGATTAAAACTATAGAGATGACCATCATGTTGGAAGTTGCCCTGAAGACAAACCTGTGCCTGTATAATGCTGATATTCATACAAGCAGTAAATGAGTTTTAAATTTCCTTGATTCCTTTTTGCTTTTCAGCTGAACCTTTGATGACTGGGAGGCAGTTTTTGATTGAACGTGTAAGTAAGAATATGAGTCGTAGATTTCCTTTAATAATTTTTTGGATAGTCATTTAAATATTTATTTATATAATTCACTTCCATCTAATGCCATGTGCAATCATGTTATTCTGTCAACACTTAAATTTAAACTGGTTGTTAAGTGAGAGTGGGGCAATAGTCCTTTAGTAGAACTTGGAAACCGTGACGCCAGTCAGATGCTCTGCCACAGAACTAATGGAAACCCTTAGGAGTAGCAGGAGAAGAAGAAACAGACCTTCAGATCAGTAACCAGAGAAGGAAAAATGTGGTACAGAGAGGTACAAGGGAGGACCCTTTTTTTCACAAAGATTTTATTGCAGTTTTTATTTACTGTAATATTTACACAGTCGGACAAATTCACTTATAGAGTGGCAAGAGAGCAAAACTGGAAGCAGCAGATGGAAATGAGATTGATACCATGTTCATGGACAAGAGATCAAGTGGGGAACATGGAGTTCATGGGGATACTTTGGTATGAGAATGATTCTTGTTTGAAGCTTGGTCCGTTCTAATATGTACTGATAATGGGAGAGGGAGTGTGCAAAAAATGATGCCAGTGTGTTGTCAATGTCAAGTTGTTCCAATTTACACTTGTAAACATGGCTATGTAATTAGTCACTTAAGACATTTTGAATATGAGGCTGTTGCATCCAATGAAGCTTTTCAAGTACATGGAGATGCTTGGTCTGCTCTCTACTCTTTAAGTAATTGTTCAAAAGTACTCAGGACTTATGGTGGTTTTCCTTTGCTACTCTTTGATAGGGTTAATAATTTTTGTTCTACCATTCAATCCAATTGTTAGAAAACCTAACCCAATCATGACTTGTCTCTGCATTTCCCTGTACTGTAATTTCTCAGAACAAAAGGTCATCATGAAGGGTTTGTTTCAATCACCTCGGTTGGAATGGCTGATGAATGTCAGGCATGATCTATATTTGCTATGTGCCCTTTGACTAAACAATAATTTGCAAAGAGTAGCAATGTATGCAAAGCAAGTGATCTTACTAAGAACACTTGTAATCAGTGTAATAATTAGTAAGATTAGGCTTCAGTTTGGTGTTATTTTGTCCCAACAGGTTATAACATGCGAAGGGAATGCAGGCTTTTATGAAGTTGGTCTGATGATGACTCCTTATAAAGGTTGATAATTGATATGAAACTAATTTGGAGATACGTTTCTTAGTTAGGGTTATTAAAGAATTACACCAAAGCTATAACACATACTAGGTTAACAATGCTGCAAGTATGGCTGATAATTACGTAATGGCCTTTTAGTTTATGTTAAGAATTATTCCATTCAGCTAAGCAGTTACTATCTGTTGTATTTGTAGCTGGATATTCAGTTTTAGGATGGAATCATCCTGGTTTTTCTGGGAGCAGTGTAAGTAAAATAGTTGGATTGTCTTCAGGTTATTGTTAAACTGTGACTGATTAGTTTACATACCATTTACTACAAGAAGGAAGGTGTAGCTTGTTCACCTAGCTAGTCATGATTCAATGTTGGGATCATTGGATTTAATTATTGCTACCATAATCACTATATTTTGTTTTTCAACTTTCCCTTATGTATCCAGTGACTTTTAAATAAATATAGGCCATTTAGCCAGGAGACACCTGTTTGAACTCAAACTGTCATCTCTTTTACCTTCATGTGGGGTTCCTTACCTAATAGCATTATTCAAAGAATATCAATTACCAACAGTGCAATGAATGGCAAAAGTAGCTGTGATAGTTGGTTTAAACAAGAATTTTTTTCTATTTTTCCAAGTGCTGTGAAGTGAAAATTGTGAAAAAATTGAAAAAAGTGAAAATGAACATTTCTCTTTCCTCTGTTTGTAAACATACAAATAAAATTCAGAGATATAAAGCTCAACATTTTCAGTTGGTTGTCAATGGGGGGGGGGAGGTATGGTTGTTGGTGAGATACTAGGGGGGATGAAGGGGAACTTTGGTTACAATGAAATATCAGAGTCTCCTATTTTTTGTCCCTCATTGTTAATCAACCTCTTAATGACAAATTGTATGATTGGTATAACTACAAATCGTGGCATAGGAAACTAAATTAAATCGCTGATATCTTGTAATTATTGCTACAGGGTGTGCCAGGTCCAGAATCTGAGAGAAATGCTATAGATGTTGTGATACAATATGCTGTGGAAGTGCTAGGCTTCTCAGTTTCTAACATTGTTATATATGCATGGTCAATAGGTGAGTGATCACATCACGTTTTTGTGCTTGTTGTATTCAGATCAACTGAGTTAAGTTCTCACAAATACATAGTTATCACCTTGAGACTGATAATATCATGTTCAAATGCCACTCAAGACAAAACAAAACACTACTTTTGATGATATGGCTAACTATTTAATTATTTAGTAACAACTGTTGTTGTCTCTTTTTTTCTGGGAATCAGCCTACTTTGCATATGTTTTGTGAAGGAGTTCAAATAAGTGTTAAAAACTTGCAATATTTTGTCAAGCAGCAATAATTATTTTGCATAATTGGGATGGAAGGGCATGGATCCTCTCCCCTTTTGACCACACCCTTTGGTACAAATTTATTTCTTTCTTTAACCCTTCCCTGCTTTGAGAAGCAGATATGGTAGCCAGACATTATACCTTAAAGTACTGAGTGTTCAGGTACTGATATACACTTGTAATGCAAGCTACTGAGAAAATACAAAGGTTACATTATTCCTGGACTTTTTAGTTTGCAGGTTTGTACATCATTTGACTTCAAATTGTATCTTTGTGAATTTTTAGGAGGTTATCCAGCAGTATGGGCAGGAAAAACTCATCCTAAGATTGGTGCTTTGGTAGGTTATAGAATAAACACAAACACAAGTAGCTCTTTGACAATGGTTGCCAAATTGATGGAGATTTATAATGCTTATAATTGGTCATATTAATTGCAGATTCTCATCAGTGAAATAAAGCAGTGGTGTTGCCAATCTTTTCTTTATCCCTCAGGTTTTAGATGCAACATTTGATGACATTGTTCCACTTGCTCAGTGCAAGATGCCTGAAAGCATAAGTATGTCTTCTACATATTAAGTTGTATTACCCATGGTTTCCTAGTATTTGTTGTGCTCGACCTAAGATCAAAAGACCTGGGTCCAAGCCCTGACACTGAAATTTTTTTTACATCCACTCTCGACTAAGGAGAATGGATACTAGCAAATTTTCAAGGGGAACTAAACAAGTTGCTGGGAGATAATGCTGCAATGGAGTGACATCCTATTCAAGGGGAATAGCAAAATTAAACAATTATTCACTGAAGTGGAGGTGAATAATTGTTTTAGTATATGCCACACAAATTAAAAAAAAAATTAGTTATTTCTTTCTATATACCGTAAAAGGGTTGGAATTTAACACTTGACCAATGATTTTGTCTCGTCGGTGCTCGAAGATGAATAGTAGGTGCTATTCACTTCCCAACTGACAATCAGGGCGTGGGGGAAAGCACCGACTCTTTACTGTTCATCTGCCTGTTCATTACCTCATAGAAACTGGGATAAGCTCCGGTAGAATGAGCTTCTTATCCTTTAAAGGCTGATCATTTATTTTGAACGTTGTAAGGAGCTAGAAATTGTACTTGTAGAGGATGTCGCACTGCACAAAAAATTCACCTAAGCATGCCAAACGTCATACTTTCTCAATTGCTATAGAATATTGAAAATACATGCGAAGTGATTCTCGTTAGCTTTCACAAGACGCACAGTGAGTCTATGACCTTGTGCACAGGATGCAGACTCAAGGCTACTTATCAATCATGATATTTGGCCATCTAAGTCTCCGTACAAGTCACCTGCAGTAGTTGCAGGTTTTTCTTTCTGCGAATCTGTATATTTGCATTATTGACTGGTTGACAACCTTTGGCATGCATCTCTGAAACTTCGCTATCTTCATTAATCTAACAGGTGGTTTTACGACAAGGGTTGTAAAGGAATATTTTCATCTTGACATTGCTCGTATGTTATACAGGTATTTAGTTAATTAGAAGTACTAAGCGATAACTCACAAATTCCTTTAGAGTTGTCCTATTTGCTGTGACTTAGTTTCAATGAATTATTAGAAGTATTTTCGTTAACTAGACGTTTTTTCTAGCTGCAAAATGTAAATTTTACTTTTTCTATGGTGACGTGCTGCATGTCAAGTGTTGCGCAATAAGATTGCAAACTGGAAGGAAAAGCTATGTCACTAACAAGAGAAACAGCATGGACTTCTTCCCAACTGTTTGTGTTGTGAATCAGTAAACAGTTCATTGAGAAACACGTTTGGTGATGACCTGTCAATGCTCCTTGTATATCTAAACTTATTTTTACACCTACCAGTCATATCGACTGATTGTGTGTTCTTTGAGTATTGCAAAATAAACTCAAGTATTCCAAAATATTTTCATAACAAAGATGCCATCTCGGGGGCATCTGCAAAATTTCCTTTCGAAAAAAATTGTAAATTGCATAGGGAAGTCTGGCCAAAGTCTCCCCCCCCCCTTCTCCCTTCCAAAGTGTTGTTAGGCGCCGTGAGCCGTAGAAATCTTTCATTATTATCTCGCAAGAAGCCAATGAGAAATCAGTGTCAATACATGAAACCGGCCTGTAACGCGGCAAAACGCGAGTGACTAAGTCGCGGTTGGGCTTAGTCCTATCATCTGATTGGCTCTGAGGAGGCTTAAGGTTACCTTCATGTTGACCAATCTCGTGGCGTTTTGAAGCAAAACCAATGCAGTCACGGTGTACTTCTAACACTACTTTGGAAATAACTTGTTACTTTACACGACTTTGTTTAGCTATCCAGGCCCGGTGCTGTTTATTAGAAGAATGAGAGATGAGATCATCACAACTGAGTAAGGCATTTGATTTTCATGTTACTTCATGTATTGTTGTAGTTAATTTATCCCTATTTATGGCTTTCGCCAGTTGGCTGCCTGTCAGCCAGTACTCTTGTTTCGTCGCTGATGAACTAATTGCTGAGTTTGACAGCCACCATTGAGAACAAATGTTCGTCTTGTAGTTTGAATCTTATGTAATGTTAAATGTAAGATGCGCGTAGTAACTCGATTAAAGTTCAAATTCGGTTGCCATGAGGGAACAGCCAGAGGTTTTGACAGTATTTATTTAGATTTACTTAATGGTGATGTCAGTGATTGGTTGAAAACCTTATGGAGCTGAAAAGCATCCTGGGTACATTTATTCCCTTCAAGCACTTCATAGCACCTAATTATTTCCCGGAGTGGTAAATGAATTCTGTGGAACGAACAGCCTAGTACTTTTGTGATGAGTAGATTGACTTAAGTCCATAATTACCTTGACTGTGTTACCTCCTATACAGCTGTTCCCGGAAGAGGTGTTTTAAAATAGCTAAAAACGCAAATTAATAAAGTTTTTACTATGCTAGGAAGCTTTGGTTACTTTAAAACGCGACTGAGGTCGACTGCATGAGTGCCTTTTCACAAAGATTCTCTGAAAAGATACAAATTCTGTGAACTTCGATCATTCAACGGTAACAGGCATTACATGTGGAACCTTAAATTAGACAATGTAATTTAGTATTATCAACTGAGTTGATAACGTAAATTGGCCACCGTAAAGAGTTTCAAAGCCAACGTACCGAGCGTTAACTTTTCGTCAGAGCGAATCATTTGCTCTGACGAAGGGGTAAGGCACAAAACGTCCGCTCAGTTGAGAAATTTACGTTATCAACTCAATTGATTATACCAAATTACCCTGTTATAATCTCCCAGTGACGCAGCACCACAGTTCTTTAGACACCTTTACTCGGAACAACTGGAAAATGAATCAATATCTGTACCACTACCTTACCCGACTGAAGTTAGAAATCAATATCCATGCCTGACAACTGACTACTTTTATCTTTTTAAAATTAATTGGTATCCTTGCGTGTGAGGATCCAAAGAAATTCTGGTATGAATGTATTCCTTTTCCGATCAGGGAAGGAGATATCAGCTCAAACCGTGGAAATGATCTCCTGGTGAAGTTTCTCAAATTCAGGTAACATTCTTAAACGTCGAATCCGTGATTGAAGAATAATTATGTCATTGCCATTACGTCACTCATTTTTGGATCAGGAAAAATAAGAGACGATTATGAGCAATTGTTGTTGTTATGTTGTACTCCTCCATTAGATATCCAAAGTTAGTTGATGACAGTGGTGAAGACGCATTATATGAATATCTCGCCGCCCCTGATCAAGCCACTAAGAGTAAGATTCATTTTTGCGTGTATGACAAATTAAAATTCGTTTTTGAATTTTTTTTAAGCTGCAGACGTAGAAATCTCCTTGACTTTATTTTAAACTTGTTTCCTCATGTGATGCTAGCTCGTGTTTTGTTTAAGATGTCTTATTTCGGTAGATGAAGGTAAATTCACTTTACATTATGTTGTAGAAGCTATTTGGGATAGCCTGAGTGTCGAGGCCAATTTATGCGAGTCAATGTACAAGAATTATGTGAAAGAAAACGGAAAGGAATATCCCATGATGATTGGTAAGCAATTGTTTCGGTTTTTTGTTTTGTTTTGTTTTTTATGATTTTTTTTATCACATTTTATTTTGTTAATCAACACCAGGTCAAGATCTGTCAGTGGAACAACGGATTCATCTACTGATGTTTCTAGTAAGTGGATTGAAATTTGACATCTTCTTAGTGATCAAAGGTTGGCTCCTCACACTTTTACTTTAATCCTTTAACTCCCAAGATCTGATTGTCAGTTCTCCCCTCTAGCTGCAACACATTTCCTTGTAAATTAGTTACAAGAATTTGATTTCAGATCAAGAACAAAAATTCGCCGTGATAAGTTTGAGTATTCTCATTACCTGTTTGCTGGATATTGTAAGGATATTATAACACGACGAAAACTATGCGTGCCTCTGCCACAAAACGTAGCTTGTTATTAAGTTGGGTTGAATGGATTTATATCTTTATCTTCTAGGTTTTGCAGTATTTGATGGACTTTGATGCCACACACTGTATGAATTTGCCAGCTTCAGAGTTTCGCCAACCCTGGAATGAGTAGCGATATTCATTTACGTTCTGCGGGAAATCTTGACAACGCTGAAACGATCTTTTTCATTAGTGTAGACTGCTTGTGTAGGATTTATGAGGTATAGATATCTATGTGAGTCTGATTAATCCTCTAACCCGAGTAACGGTCTGTTCATAGCTAGCAGGGTCAAGAGGTTCTTATGAAAAGTAAAAGAAAAAGATTAGCTTACTTGATCTCAATCCATCTTTTTATCCACATGCTACGAAGGTGTACGGGTGAATAATTTATGATATGATGAATTAACTAGATTGTTGTTTTGCTACAAGAAAGAAACTTTTAGTACTTAAGCCATCCACCCGAGCCTGTGACCAATAAATAACTTTTCCTTTCGATATTAACTCATTGTTAGACAGTTAAGTACAAAAAAAGGAAACAAAAGTGTTAACTATAAGAGACAAAAGTTTTATTTAACATCAAATTCCCATAAGTGAAATTTTAAGAAATATATGGCAAGTAGGGAGAATTGTGTGGGATCTTTAGAGCCAATGAATCAAGCCATAATGCATTGTTGTTATTATTACCAGTTTTAATTTGCGTTGTCTTTTGCCATCTATATTGTGTTTCTTTGCTGCGTTTACTTGCGTATTTGTTTTTTTTTTTCGACCTGGGCTGGGGATGAACATTACCTCCATTCTGAGGTTCTTTGAAATCAAGAGATTAAGAAAAGTTTATCATCTCTTGGTTCAATATGTAAGCATTTTATAAATCTTGGCCCAAACCCAAATTTTCGTATTCATTTTTACAGCCGCGTTAAGTGGTTCATGTGGTACTGTATGCTGAGTATGATACCCACTGATTAGACTGTACAGGATATTAAGATCGAAAATAATCAGAACAAAGGTTTCATTTACACTATTGAAAGCCAAATCTTAAACCAGTAAATGAAAGAAATGGCTTGACGCTGTTGTTTTGGTGGTATCAACTACTTCTTTTAAGTTCATTTCAAACGTGGCGCAAAGTTAGGGCTTTTTTCGATGAATTCCGTGATAAAATTTGTGTTCCTTCGCGAGAAAAAAATTCCATATCGTTACTTCTATTAAATATGATGTGTAATAGTTTAACTGACAGGATATCAGTTCAGAAAGACCCGGTTTTAGTTAGGTTTATCGTATCGTTATTGTAATTATACTCCCGTGATTTTATGAGAATATCATACTATCTTAGGGTGACGTGTTATTAATTGTTGGTTCATTGAGACGAAACTATTTCATGCAAGTTTTTAAATGTATTTAGTGTTATTTGACGTAAGGTGGTTTTGAATTAATTTGTGGCAGATATGCAAAGTGTGAAAGCTTTCCGCGGTAGTAATGGTTGTAAAATGTGTGTTTATTCACCGTGGTTGTAATGATAAACGAATTCAAAGTATATTCGATTGTTTCATGATTTATAACCACTAACATTTAGATTCCAGCTGTTGATTAAGGATCGCGACGTGTCGAATGCTCTCTTTTTAGTGTTCGTCAGGCGATGAGGTTTGAATGGTCACGCGTATCTGGGGCGCTCTCATTAGTGCATTTCGATCCTCATTGCTATTCCTACTACTAAATATTGTTTTTTTTTTAGGTTCGCTTGCTTATGACTGGCTGTTGCGCATTTTTTTTTATTGTATTTATACCTCTTTGAAAGAGAAAAATAGAGAGGTTAACTTATCGATCATGCCAGTCTGAGGTCAACTTCGCTTAGGGTCTCCCCCAGAGGAGTTTGAGGGAAAGACATATTTGCTACAATTTAATGGAGATCAATTGAAAAGAAAAACAAAAAATGTCTAAAGCCGTATGGATAATTTATAACAGAGAGATAGACCCCGTATGTGATAAAAAGATCGAGTTGCTGTTAAATTAAGCAGGATGAAAATGAGCCTTAATAGCTAAAAATTTTATAAATACCGTTTAAAAACTATAGAGGAACAAGAAAATGTCCTTCTTAGCCATTATTGAATCCAACTTTTAGAACATATCTTATTAGTGCAAAACAGCAAGGAGAGTGAAGGATCATAGAATTAAATGATGACTTAGCTTTTTTTCACTCGAGATTCTGAATCAGAAACATAAATTCATAGGTTACTTTCCAACCCAATGCCCGCGGAACTAGCATTGCAAAGAAAATAGCAAATCAGAACACTTTCGCCTTTGGCACTAGCGGAACTAGCGTTGCATAGAAAATGACAAATCAGAACACTTTCGCCTTTGGAATAAGTGACAGTTTACAAAATATCTGAATCTTTTGAAAGCAAATTACCATACCTTTTGAGTTCATTTTTAAAATCGTCTGACTACTTTACGTCGAATCGAACGCCTTCAAACTGCAAACAGACCAAGCGTCGGAACAAACTCTACCCCTAGTTTATTCATTACATTTTCTTACTTTCAAAGTAGAACGTGCAATATTCATTATGTTAATAACTTAGGTAGGAATCTTGATCAGAGCTTCATGTCTGTTCGCTTCGCATTCAACGGAAAACGCTATCATCATATGACCTGTACGGCCCCCGCGCGAGCTTGGCCCTAGGTTCTCTCCCTCTATACTTGTGAACATGGAGTAGGCATGGAAACGAAGAAAGAAAAAGAAGGGCAAAATTATATCTCCTTTCAATAACTCAGAGACACCTGAAGATATTACATTTATATACGCATTTATGTTTACATCTTATATGTGCCTTTATCCAGTCGGAAAGTTGCCGAATAAGACAGCTCCTTCGTCTGTAACGTGTTTCGTCAATACTGATGGAGATTGAAAAACAGCTTCACTTTTTTAACTGGAAATGCCCATGGAAAAGAAAAACAGATAGATACACCGCGAGGTTCTGGTAAACCGATTGTTAATGACCAGAAGCATATCTGACCTGATTTGTATGCTTCTGTAATGACTTAAAAAATACTGTTAAAGCAAAATGTTTTTAATTCAATTTCAGTTAGGTTCGAGTTGAGTATTTCTAAAATTACAACACTATTTGCAGATCTCTGCGGAACTTCTCAGTTGAAAATCTGTCTCAACCGAAGTATCCTACTTCACTTCATAATTGTACGGATCCGACCGAAGAACTCGGTGTCGACTTCTTTGAACCCGCTTTTGAAGTCGGAACACTCATTTAAATTACAAATAATTTCTAAAGTTAATATTCATATTTGCGCTTAGCCTTGCACGTGGAAAGAGATTACGAACTACAAGAAATTTGAGCGTCTTTCTTTGCTTCAATGGAGTCAAGAAACACGGCATTCGACCCTATTACCTTGGATACTGTCCTCTCTGTCCAGGTCGGGGAGCGTTTCTTATGCTAGAACAAGTGTTTGAGATACCATGTCGAGGATTCATGCTTTTCAATTTATCACGACATTTCTTCAGGTAAGTAACCTGTGAAAAGAAGCAGTTATTAGATAGAAATACAGAGTTAGTATTAGTTTTCTATTTAGAATTCCCTTTATTTGGATCGTTACTTTATCAATCCGCCCATTTTTATAAATCCCTTTAATTCGATTGTTACGTTAGTAGCTGGTTCACTTTTAGAGTTTTCTTTCAATGGATTTTTTACGTTAGTTTCTCACGCACGTTTAGAATTATCTTTCACCGGACGTTTACGATAGTATCTCGTGCACTATCAAAACCTATTTCACTGGATTTTTACGTTAGAACCTTGTGCTCTTTTAGAACTCTTTTTATTCGAATTGTTACTATAGTATCTCGCGCACGTTTAGAATTTTCTTTGATTGAAATGTTACGTAAGTATCTTACACACAGGATTCTCTTTCATCAGAATGTTATTTTATTATCCGCGTACTTTAAGAATCCTCTTTCAATGGATTGTTACGTTGGTATTACACACACGTTTACAATCTCTTTCATTGAACTATTACGTTAGTATCTCATGCACTTTTAGTGGCGCACTTTTTGAATTCTCTTTGAATGGAGTGTTAGGTTGGTACTTAACGTACGTTCTTTTTGATTGGATTGTTACTTTAGTACCTGGCGCACTATTTGAATTCTCTTGATTGGATTGTTACTTTAGTGTTTTGCCCTTTTTTTGGTTCAATTCTATTCGATTGTTACGTTAATATCTGGCGCACAATTAGAAGTCTCCTCGGTTGGATCGTTACTTTTAATTATCCGCCCACGTTTGGAATTCCCTTTCATTGGATTGTTACGTTAGTATCTGGCGCACTTTTTGAGTTCTCTTTCAGTAAGGGTTTTTTACGTTGGGATCTCACGCCCGTTTAGAATTCTTTTTCACTGGACTTTTACTTAGTATCTCGCGCACCGTCAGAACCCTTTTTCATTGGACTTTTAAGGTAAGCATCTCGTGCACTATCGAACCCTGTTTTATTGGATCTTAACGTTAGTATCTTGTGCTCTTTTAGAGCTCTCTTTTATTTGGATTTTACGTTTGTATCGCACATTTTAGAATTTTTTTTTGATTGGATTGTTACGTCAGTATTTCATACACGTTTAAGATTCTCCTTCATTGGAATGTTACGTAAGTATCTCGCGCACGTTTAGAATCGTCTTTCATTGGATAGTTGCGTAATTATCTCGCGCACTTTTCCAAACTCTCATTGATTGTTACGTTAGTATCTTGCGCACTTTTAGAATTCTCTTTGATTGGATTGTTACGTTAGTATCTCGAGCACTTTTAGAATTCTCTTTAATTGGATTGTTACGTTAGTATCTTGCGCACTTTAAGAATTTTCTTTAATTGGAATTTTACGTCAGTAAATCGGGTACTTTTTGAATTCTCTTTCATTGGATTATTACGTTAGTATCTCATGCACTTTTAGTTTTCTTTCGTTTGAATTGGAACTTTAGCATCCGACCCAACTCTCTTTGATTGGTTTATTACGTTGGTACTTTATGTAAGTTTAGATTTCTTTTTGATTGGATTGTTACTTTAGTATCTCGCGCACTATCAGAACCCTCTTTCATTGGACTTTTACGTTAGTATCTCCTGCACTATCAGAACCTTGTTTCCTTGGATATCTACGTTCGTATCTTGTGCTATTTTAGAGCTCTCTTTTATTGGATTGTTACGTTAGTTTCTCGCGCATTTTTAGAATTTTCTTTCATTGGGTTGTTACGTTAGTATCTTAAACACCTTTAGGACTCTCTTTCATTAGATTGTTACGTGAGTATCTCGCGCACGTTTAGGACTCTCCTTCATTGGATTGTTACGCTACTATCTAACACACGTTTAGGATTTTCCGTCATTGAACTGTTACGTAAGTATCTGGCGCGCGTTTAGGATTCTCCTTCATCGTATTGTTTACATACTCCTCCTATGCGGACAGGAGCTTAGAGACAATTCTCTGATTCAGTTCCGCTTTTAGCTCTCCCAAAAAAGCAGAGCACTGTATTTTATTATTTCATTTGAACAGACACTCTTCGAATGATCAGAGATACAATTTAAGCAATTTTACGAGCGAGCATAGATTAACTGCTTGTGATTGCTTTAATGAAATTATAAACTTTCAGCTCAAAATAAAATGGTTTAATACCTGAAAACAAGCAGACGAAAGTCTGAAATCTTAAATCTACAACAAATGACTTACTTCGGTTTTGTAAAATCAAGACGCCTTCTGTACAAATTTCAATTCCAAAATAACCAATATGTTTTTAATAGTCCATGAAACTCGTCATCAATATACGTAAAAGCGTTAAACAAGAAAACATGATAACTGTTCTGATTTGGTGAACTATCAAATTTTCTGATCTTGTCTGATTTATGTTTACGATTCCAACGTTCGAGTGGAAAAATAAATTAATTCTGTTTTAATAGAAAAAATGTTAAAATTGTGATGAGCAAATAAGAAAGTAAATTTTTTTAATGTCTGAGACAATTATGATCTGTTATAGCCACAAATCTTCGCCAGTAGACTTATTCATTGTTTACTGGTCAAAATTACCTTTGCAAAAAGGACAAAGTGCACGCGACAATCTCGAAATGTAATCTGGGTATCTGACGAAGGGCTAACGCTCGAAACGTCAGCTTTTTTACCCTTAACGGTGGCCAATTTACGTTTTCAACTCAGTTGTTAACACTAAATTACCTGCTATACTCTCCCACCGACGCAGCACCACAGTTTCTTTAGAAACTTGTCCCCTTTATTCTGAAGTCAATTTAAACTGGTTAATATAGCGGTAAATTTCAACTTCAACAACACTTTCTCGAAAGAGCTTATGATCAGGTATTAGAGTTTTTTTGATGACACAAAGTAAAGTATAAATTCTAAGATGGCAATGTACTGAATTGTTGCTTCGTGTATGAAAAACAAATGCTTCCCTTTTCGAATCAGAGTTCCAAAATTTTCAAATTAATTCAGTTCACGGCGATAATGAGTTTTTTATTAAATTAATATGTTTTTGGCCCAGTCTTTCTCTTGGTATCAGTCAGTTGTCAATCGTGAAGTACGATCGTCCGAGTGAGAGTAGTCCTGAAAGGGTTTGTTATCGAAAATGGTGATTGGCCTGATCCGAAGTCGTCAGAGTCGAGTGAACAATTGATTTTAAGTTGAACGTTACAAGATCTCTTTGTAAAAGTTATTGGTCAGTTTTGTAGTAAAGTGGCTTTTCGTCCGTCGGTGAGTCGGCAAGGCTATAGCTAGTTTGTCCTGTTTGGTCCGTAGGTTACCGTTTTGTAGTCTTTTGTAAGGTGACGATGGTCATTGACATCTGTTGTGAGGAGTCTTCTCTTAATTCAGAAAAGTAGCTTTTCAAAGTCAGCCTCAGAAGATTTTTTTTATATCTTTTTATGATAGCCCTTTTCTGTGGAACCTGTCATAAGCTGTCATCATGTATTGAAGGGTCACCCAGCCATTTCCCGTGGGTGACCGCTAAATATAGGTTCGACTGTATTTTTGTACCTACTGTGCCTTCCTTCTAGGAATTGAGGCCGTAGTCG